CTAACTAGCACGCAACCAAGAGGTGACTGTGAAAGCTTGTATAAACCACAGAGTCTTATAAAGGGTTTAAGTCCCTTTTATTCAACGTACTAATTTACAATTGCGTTCTCTTGACGCTTACAAACGGTGCCAACTCGGCAGTCAAAATAAAAATAAAAACCTGAAAAGAAATTAAAGACAATATTCTAACTACGAGGCTCTCTCAAATAACTAACTCACCGCGTTTTACAATACGGCTGCTAATTCAGCAGACTCTAAGCTCACTGGAACAATTGCAACTACTTCCCGCTAAGCACATAGGCCGCAACGCGGGGTTTTTCAAATCTCTATAACTACCTCCGCGCTCGCTAAGTAAGAATAACTCTCTCTCACCGAACTTGTTTCCTTCTATTTAAATCATACTACTTCCGCTGATAATTTGAATGCTTGCGCGTTCTACTCAAATTTACATATTCTGGCATTGGCAGTTCCAGGGGAAAGTAAGGATTGACAGGAAAGATAGTTTAAACTTAAAATAAATGTTAGTTAAAATAAATATAAACCCTACAACTTTCAGACCACAAGTGGTTGGTCTCTGTATTCCGAAGTCCGTAAATTATTGTAAACAGTGAAAAATAAAGGGTTTCGTATACCCTTCCTGTGTATCTTGTCTACTTCCCACATTTATTGAACGTAGCTTTAGTAAGCTCCCTGTTCCGAGTCAGGATTTTGAATGTTCCCCAAGCAAGTAAGGAGGAACACTGAACCTGATAGCCTTTAGCAGCTAGAATCCTTAAGAACTGTTAGCAACTAATAGCTGAGCTCTAACGCTACGACAGAAGTCCAAAGAAGGGTTATAAATTACCCTTTCGTTCAACTCAAAATATTCACAGGGGCTTACATGAAGCCTCCACTCGAGATTTAACTTCAGCTAGAAAATACGAAACTAATCTAATGCTAACTAAATTAAAAACCAGCCGACGCTGAACAGAAATAACAAATAACTAACAGAGTTGGCCCTTAAGAAAGTTCATTGACCTCCGGGGGGGAGGGAGCATGTATTAACAGCATACATGTATGAAAAGCCAACAACAAAACTCGCTTAAGTCCAAAATGTTAACGTTCTAAAGCAAGGGTTTCCAAATTACTGCCCGCGAAACCTGATTCGTATTAGCAGGCAAGTAACAATACGGCCGTACGATATGTCTTAAAAGCAACGACGTGGCCAGAAGGAAGAATGCTCTTCTAAGCTCTAAGTTCTAAGATCTTCTACTGAAGTGACGGGCATTTCAACTTAAATACTGGAGACTCCTCTTCGGGAGTTTATCCTCGCGCTGTATCATGCATTAAGTATAATTATATATCACTTGTTAGAAGTCTTATGCAATGACACATATCACTTCTTAATTACATCGTATTATGTTAAATGTATCGTAACCTGTTATTTACACAAATGTAACAATTTTTACTGCCAAGGTATACCATAATTGTTTGTAATCAGTAATTTATTTTCAATTATATACTCACGTATTTGAATTAGTGTTGTCTTAAAGGTTCTCTAGATCATGGTGGACGTGGTGCTATACTAATTAACCGTATGGTAGAGGCATAGTGCCCACCTCCCCCGTTCCTTATCCTTATCCTTATCATTTATATAAAACGCGATCCTAAAAACTCAATTCTGGCAGGGAACTGTAGGTGGAAATAAGCAATTAAAGGAAAGTTTATTCAAAAATAAAAATAACTATTAGGAAATTAAAATAAACCCCCACAATATTACAAATATTATACAACCATTTCTAAATTTACAAAAACTGATATACAGTGACACTCCGTTAAAGAAATGGCCATTGTACTGTTTTTAAGAATAAAGGTTTCGTATGCTGTCTTTACCTATTTTCATTGTAGGTTTGTTCGTAGAAACTTTCGAGCGATTTTGTTTAAGTGTCAAAAGTATTTCGTAACACATTAGTATGTTAGAATATTTTCCGAAAAGAATCCACTTCAGTAGTGCTTCTTCTATTTATTACTTAATGTATTATTTTACTTAGAAATTAAAATAGAAAAAGCTTTTAAAAAAAGAAAATCTGAAAGGTTTCAGATTTTAAATTACGTCCAAAAAGGCGTTTTTTAAAATTTTTGTGTGTTACCTTTTATTTATTAAATATCATATACTTCGCACTTAACCATAAAATTCAGTCCAAGAGAAATAACGCAAAATAATTTTAAATTGAGCCTATCTTTAGAATTTCCGATATGCAGTCTCACGCGCTGGAGATAAAAATATTTTTTTAACGTTGCCATGGCTCGCTTTGAAATCCTTGAGTTTGTTAATCAAAAATTCGTTAAAAGTTTTACAAAATGTGAAATCTCTACCTATAATAAAAAAAAGAGTCTATCTGTGTGTGTGTCAGTGTGTTTTTCGTTTGTGTTGCGCGTAAGCTAATAGACCACGGCTACGGAATTTGGTACATCTAGACAGGACTAGAACTATCATCTAGACTAGGTGCATCTAGACTAGGTGCATCTAGACAAGAGCCAGTGCACCTCGAAGCGATATTTTCGAAATACGAAATCACGTCATTTTGAGACATAATGGGCTATAGGAAAGCGAGATTTTACTCTACAAACTCCATTTTCACATCGTCATGAAACGTAGGCATTTAGCTATTTTACGAACTTAAAATAAATTTCGTGCTTCAATAAATCGATTAAATACGAATTTATTTAACAAAGTGAGCTTAACACCTTTTCAACGGGATTTTTTCTAAAAAAGTTTATTTTTAAAAATGTACAGTTTATTTTTCTTTCATTTTTGGACACGTTAAACTTTCATACCTGCGACTGGTTTTACAAAAAGAATTTTGAAAAAAAATGATAATATTTTGTATTTAAAAAAAAAATTTAATGAAGTTTCCGAGTACACTTCTCATATCTCACATCTTTAAAAATGTGATTTTGGCAACAATTTTCCTTTGTTATTGTTGTTGATAGATTTCTGATGAAATCGCATCATTTTGAATGGTTTCATTCTTTTAGAAATATGGGTTTGGCAACAATTTTTCATCGTATTTTTATGTCACTGTTTTTAAGAGATTGGCATATTTCATTGTTATTTTTTTATATATACAATACATTTTTATTGATTTTTTTTTTGATAAAGTTGTTCTGCAGAGTAAAATTCTGGGCGGAATTTTTTGTTTTTTGAGTTTCTTTCATGTTATTTTTTGCTTATTTCACCGTTTGTAAGATATTGAAATGTTTTGCATGATTTTTTTTTTCTTCAACGGAAAGTTGGTTAATTTTTTTTATTAGGATAATTAATATTTGTATTAAGGGATATAGCTTATTTCATTGTAATTTTTTTTTCTTGAAAATATAAGATAAAATATCATTAATTATACTTTGCTTTTCAGAATTTTTTTTGTTTTTTGTATTCTTTTATGTTATTTATTGCTCATTTCACTGTCTTTAAGATATTATTGAAAGGTTTTGAGTGATTTTTTTAGGAAACAAAGTTCTTAACCTCCTTTATACCATTTGAGTTCTTAAGATTTTGCAAAGGGAAGTTGGTTAATTTATTTATTAGGATAATTCATATTTGTATTAAGGGATATTGCTTATTTCATTGTAATTTTGTTATACGTAATAAGTTTTTTTTTCTGAAGTTGTTCTGCAGAGTAAAATTCTAAGCAGTTTTTAAATTTAATGTTCGGTGTTGCTTTCAGCCATTTTTCCGGTACATTTAAAAGCCAGACAAAGGCTGTGCCAGTCGATAATAAAACAAATTCCATATGTCAAATTTGGGCCCATATTCGCAGTAGGATTACGTCATTCAGAGTTGGATAGCTCTGCGTACCATTGTTTATCCCAATGCGAGAAACATACATACATTTATACAGATTCTTCATTATTTAATTTCTTCAAATATAATACAGGGCGATAAAATTTGGTGGCAACAGTTTGAAAAGTGATACAGCCATTTATAATGTTTCAACGGAAAATCGCAAAACGAAAACAATAGTCCCTCGGGGACAATAAAAAAGTAAAATATAAAATATGAATGCATGTTGACACAGAAAATAATAAAGTTATTGAAACTGATAAATGTTTGGGTGTCACAAAAATGAAGCTCATAACATACATAATTTTGAAACATTTACTTGATGTTAAATATGCATGAGAGAGTTCTACCTTGCACACTTTCATAAATTTCTATTATGCGTAAGATTAAAATACCTTGAATAAATTCATACATAAAAAGTACCTAGTAAAAATACTACCAAAAAAAGCGAGGGAAATGGAAATAATTTGTTCTCTTCTGATGATTCTTCCTTTCAAAAATAATTCAAGACGCCTTCGAATTAAAACAAAGATTAAAAACTAAAATTCAAAACTCCTTCGAAATTCAAATTTAAAACTCCTAAAATTCAAAGCTTCTTATAAATTCAAAACTCCTTCGAATTAAAACAAAGATTAAAAACTAAAATTCAAAACTCCTTCGAAATTCAAATTTAAAACTCCTAAAATTCAAAGCTTCTTATAAATTCAAAACTCCTTCAAAAAATGCCCATTAATCTTTAATCTTTTTCTATTTGTTTTATCTTAAGTCCAATTCTGATAACATTAAAAACTTTGTCAAATTTTTTATGTGGAAAAAATAGTAAGAATTACTTAATTCTTTTCTGGCTTCATCATTCGGTTAGAAATCACAGAACAGAATATGAGAAAGATAATAATAATTAATTTTTCAGACAGAGCTTTCCAGAATTTCTGTTTGCAATCGTAGAAATAAAATTAAAAAAAAAAAAAAAAACAGTAATTTTGCACAAAAGAAACGATTTAAAAGCAAAATAAGTTTAATGTACGTGACACTAAAAAACTTTTTTTTAACCTCTGAATTATTTTTAACATTCTGCTTAGCGTGCTTAGTTTTTATTTCATACAGTTTCGAATACACGAATGAGAAATAAAATGTCACCACAAGAGTTCTATACGGGCAAGATCTCAACGATACTTACCCTTGGATCGGCGACGCTACTCACAGAACGGGCGACAGTTTGAAAGACTTCGTCAGTTTCGACATCCTATAAAAACAAAAGCATGAATTTCTAAACATGGAAACAAAGTAATAAAACATTTTTAATGTATTATTTATCCAAAAACATGAAGAAAAACAATCATTTTTGTTCTGACTTCGCGACAAGCCAAAAAAACATAAAACCTCAAAATGTCTTTATTAAATATTGAAAAATATAGAAACATATAAAACACCAAATACAGTTAAAACAATTAAAAAAACAATTTTTACAATTAAAATTAAGAGTTTTTACGCAAAAACAAGCAATTTGGTCAGCGGGCAAACAGGCAGATTTTTTTGGTGCACAAAATTTCCTTTTGATCCCCCTCGGCAAAAACATACTGAAGTTGGTAAACGAACGGACTTAATTCACTATTGTCCTAAGAGATTCAAATGTAAACAAATGGTGGTCGTGTTAGGCTTAGTACCACTTAAACAGCTTTCAAATTGTTGATAATTCTACAGCTGTTGCATGCAGATTAACTAAAAGCATAAAAACCTTAATCGGAACATACGAGCAACATAAATCAGTCATTTTAAGGCAAAAAGTGTACAATTTACCAACACATAAGAATAAAATAAATAAATTTTTTGTAACACCAGTGCAGCAAAATGAAAGCGACACGCGTCAAATTATACGAAAAAAATAAAAAACATGTTTATCAATGCGCAAATAAAATCTGCCACAATCTGGGGAGGAAAAAAGTTAATAAAGTAAATAATAATAAAAAAAAGGAATCTGAAAGCTTTCAGATTTTATATTACTCCCAAAGGGGCGGTTCCCCCCCCCATTTTGCGCGTTGCCTTTATTCATTAAATACCATGTTCTTCACACCTAAACCATAAAAGTGAATTCAAGAGCAAACACAAAATATTTAAAAGAGCATATCTTTAGAATTTTCGATACACAGTCTCGCGCGCTGGAGATAATTTTTTCCCGTACGGTGTTGCCATTGCTCGCTTTGAAATCGTTGAGTTTATTAATCAAAAATTCTTTAATATTTCTCAAAATATGAAATAGATAAAATTTGGGATTTCAGATTCTATTCAAAATTCTATGTCTCTAGATATCGTTGTTTTATCACAATGCGAGAAACATGCATACATTTATGCAGATTCTTCATTATTTAATTTCTTTAAATGTAATACAGGGCTATAATATAAGGTGGCAACAATTTAAAAAGTGATTCCCCGTTTACAGTGAATCAATGCAAAATGCCACAACGAAATTAATAGCTCTTCTGGGCAAATTGCCTGTTTGGACTAAAAAGTCAATAAAAAAGGTTACATGAAATAGCATCCAATAATAAGCTACAAAAATCTTTTTATATATACACATATATAGTATATATAATTCTAATGTTTGATTTTGGCTAATTTTAAAATTGCCGTACTTTTTAACCAAAATAGCATTCAAACTCAGCAGCGAATACGAATGCTTTCCAAACTATTTCCTTTTGTTCGTAATCAATTATTAATCATAGTAAATAGACAAATTGTATCAGCTTTTGCATCTAAATGGAAAATCTTCTGAGACAGACTTTCAACTCAAGGTCAAAAGGAGAAATTTGCTCAGGACTATTAATTTCGTTTTGGCATTTTGCGTTGAAAACTGTAAACGGCAAATCACTTTCCAAATTGTTTCTCCCCAATATTATCGCCCTGTATTATATTTAAAGAAATTAAGTGATGAAGAATCTGTATTATGTATGTTTTTCTCATTGTATGTATGTTTTATCACAATGCGATGTTTTATCACAACGCGAAAAACATACATACGTATGTATGCATTGTGATAAAACAACGGTACCTAGAGCCATCAAAATTTGAATAAAGTAATCTTCCACTGAGTATGGGCATGTGGAAGCCCTAATTTGAATTTGAAATTTGTTTTTTATTATCGATTTCATATTTTGTAACACTTCAACGAATTTTTGATTAACCAACTCAACGGTTTCAAAGCAAGGAAGGGCAACACTGTACGAAAAAAAATGTATCTCTAGCGCACGAGACTCTGTATCAGAAAATTCTAAAGAAATGCTGAGTTTAAAATTATTTTACGATATGGCTGTTGAACTGAGTTTTATGGGTTGAGAACGTAGAAAATGATATTTAATAAATAAAGGTAACACACGAAAGCTACAAAAATGCCTTTTTTTACGTAATTTAAAATCTGAAAGCTTTCAGATTTTATTTTTTTCCCCACGATAGTTAAATGATCTATAATAGATTGTGGATGTCCACACAAATTATAAAGTATTTTTCCCGCCTTTCTAGCGTGCCTTCGTGGTGTAGTGGTTCTGCACTCTGGGCCGGTATTCCAGAGGTCCGTGGTTCGATTCCCGGCGAAGGCATTGCTAATTTTTCATCTTGTCTGCTTCTAAAAAAATACCTAATATCCCTGCATAATGTGGTCTTTATTTTTCAGTCAGTTGTCTAATAACTTAACTCTAATGTTATTATAAAAAGGAGATCTACTTCAGCTACGAAAGAATGTGTTTTTTAGCGGCGAAATATTACTGTGAAGATGTAATAGTAGATTATTAATAACAACACAGAGAAAGACGGCAATAACTTTTAATATTCTAAGAGTTTAAGTTGCGAGATGAAATTTTCTACTTATAAAAGATACAAGAATGGAATTGATTTGTTTCACATGTGAATGTATCATTCACGTATAAAATAACGAGAAAAACTATCTTTCTTTTTATTTAAAAAATTTTCGTTTGTTTGAAATATAAATCAAAACAGCGATTTTGAACTCCTTTTGGATGTCATCCATATTTCTTTTAATTTACTGTTTCATTCAATCATTGCATAACTAAAACGGTTAACGTAAGATATACTTTCTTGAGCAGTTACAACCTGAAATTATCATATTTACAAGTCATGAGACCATTCAGAACATTTTCTGATAAAGAATGCTTTTTGTAGTATAAAAATTACCTCCAGAATTAATAAAAGAAATTATTTAATGTTTTTTAACGAAAAATGTTTGCATTTTTACTTCCTTGTACGAAGTAAAAAGGAAGTATTGTAATATAGCGAAAAGTTTCAGGCAACATATTTCAACGAAAATATCCATTTTGACCGCTTTCGAATGCAATTTAACGATGTTTTGATATCTGTACGTAAGGACAGAATAAAAGACTCGTTTCCTCCAAAAAAATGATAAAACTACTTTAAAATTAATTCTGACGAGAATGTTTCGTGGCGTCTGTACGAACGTATGTACGTACGTATCTCGCATAACTCAAAATCAAAAACGAGTAGCCTCAGAACGTTGAAATTTTGTATATAGGACTGCTATAACATGTAGATGTGCACCTAGTATTTTGATTGCAATCGGCCGCACCAAACCTATATAAATATATTTATATATATATCAACTCTGTTACCCGGCTCAGTGATCTCAGTTTCTTCACTCTTATGCGTTTGTAAATTGTACATTTTTTGCTTTAAAAATGATTGAATTATGTTGTTTTTATCTTCCGGTTAAGGTTTTTATGCCTTTCGTAATTCTGGAAGCAATATTTGTACAATTATCAACAATTTAAAAGCTGTTTAAGTGCGGTTAAGTTTTAAATAACATGGTGGACATATTTGTTTACATTTGAAACAGCAGAATTGTAGATTTGTTGCCAATCTAGAGAGACTAAGCTTCGCAACACAAAAATAACGCCTTCATTTATTATTGCGAATTAAATCATGCTTAATCCTTTGTGGAATTTTTTCGAGGAAATAAGTGAAGATTTACTTCGTAATTTTTAATGCAGATATTTTGAGTTTTTATGTATTTTTGCCTTGTCGCGAAGTGAGAACTGAATTAATTGAATGAGAAATACTGAATCGTCTGTGGAAAACTCCTTCTTTTCTGTTTTGTTTGCTTAATTGCTTTCATGCATCGTTTTAGCTTTATTATAGTATTTGGATAGAACATGTGGCAACGATAATTCTTCAAATGATATAAATTTTGTGCATTCAGAATGTCGTTATAGTAAACAAATATAGTGAATTTTAAAGAGTGCATTTATTCTATTGCGGTTTATGCGCTGTCGACGAAGTAGATTTAATTCAGTCGAATCAATTTAAAATGAAATTCAAGAAAAAAATGCGTATAATTTAATATTCCGTACAAGGAAGTCATGTGGTGTACACATCAGATTTTTTTAAAAGAACAAACTATAAGCATCATGCAAAAACAAAACTGCTTTAAAATTTAGCACTTAAAGAAAAATGATTGTTTATTGTTTTCGGTGAAATGTGCTAGAATATTTAATCTGAAATTAACACGAAAGGAAGGATGAATTTCACACATTAGAATCACATTTTATGAAATATTTTCTCACCTGCATAATATCTTTCAGCGTTTCCATTCTGGTCAAAGCAGCTTCGGCGTCGTCGCTAAGAAGGGCATTGGGTTCCAAGCCATTTAAAGTCTGTAAAAAAATTAATATCATCTTACTTCCCGTCTGAAATTCCAAATTTTAAAATAAGAAGTATGTAATTATTAAGCTACACAAACAAGTGAAGAAGGAGTATTTTTTAAGCGTAGCGATTCAATATAAAACTCGAGAGACAGATTCAACTAGGTATGATCTCTTTTCTTCTTGAACTGCTTGTTGAAACTCAACAAAACGAAGAATAGGAGATAAATAATGTAAAAAATAAATACTGAAAAATAATCAGGTGATAATTATTACTAAAATGGGTGTAAATTTATAGCAAAACAAAGAAAAAATTGCTATCCAGAAAAGTTTGTCTTCTGATTCACTGGCGGGTCGTATCTACATTTTGCCAAACACTGCTGTAAAGGATTATATAGGGGGTGCCATTTTACTTTTGGAATTTGAATAAACTAATGAATATTTCTTCAAAATTATGAATTTATTAGAAATATTGGAGATTTTCATTTAAGAATGAAACACAACATCATTCAAATGACTACCACGGCCGGCTTGACAGTACTCCATCCGATCAACCCAATTATCCAGTACATTTTAGATTATTTGGGTTCCAGTCGCATGAATGGCAACTTAGATTTCCTGTTTCAAGGTATCAATCGTCTCTGGGTGGTTAGCATAACACTTATCCTTAACATAGCCAGTTTCCTTTACAAAATCCTTCAAAGATTCTTCTCTGTGTTTAGACAGATACCCATATGCAACTGATTAAATAAATAATAAAAGAGAAAAAAAAAAGGCATAAACAAGGAAAACATAATATTAAATACTGAATAATGGGAAACCGAAAGATAAAATTTTAAGTTTGGACAAGACAGGCAAAAGAGAGGATTAAGCCTTGTGGGTGTTGTTACGCTTTCTTCTGATACCAGTTGTTTCATTATTTGCTTTCTTCACGCTCGTACAGGGTTCGTGTGGATTTGGAGTGAATAATGACGATACTACTTGATGAAATATCGAAACACACTTTATTTAGCTAATCTTAATCGGACAGCTCCAAAGTCACTTTTTATAGTCGTCGAAGCTCTACTATAAACACGCTGACACAGTCAGCGATACAGCCTTCACACTATTAGGCTATAACGGTGGAGACAGCTTCACTGCAAAGCACCAGAGTACAGCTCCCGACTCTGCTTGGTCGTTCTGGGAACTCCACGTACTCTCGAGACTCTCCCTGCTGCAACTGGCGATGCACTCGATGACACACAAAGCACAGCTCCCGACTCTTCGGTTCAGTCGTTCCCGGAGCTCAATACGCTCTCTCGACGATGCACTAACCGCGATACACTAAGAGACTCCTTCGGTAAACTCGACGACCCGCTCGGTACTCGCTGCCTGGCTGTCAACTCGATCGACTCCGCAGGGATTGACTTGCTAGACGAGACACCAACTCGATATTAACTATCTCGCACTCGACGAGGCACACTCTCACTCGCCCTCTCGACGAGACACTCTCTATCAGCTCGCTAGGAGAGGCACACACATTCGATACTAACTGACTGACTGCGGACCAGCAGGGTTTATATAGCTTTCGGCTTGTTTTACCCAGAATGTTAATCGTCAATTTTGTCGCCAAATGGGCGATTTCTCGCCAAAAGTGGCAACCCTGCATTACCTTGCTGTTTATGGCAACCCTAAAACTGTTTTGCGGGGAAGCCATCTCACCGCGCCTTGACATTTCTTAACAATACGAAGCCTACTTAACAGTTGGCATGTTGGCTATAACGGTGGAGACAGCTTCACTGCAAAGCACCAGAGTACAGCTCCCGACTGTGCTTTGGTCGTTCTGGGAACTCCACGTACTCTCGAGACTCTCCACGCTGCAACTGGCGATGCACTCGACGACACACAGAGCACAGCTCCCGACTCTTCGGTTCAGTCGTTCCCGGAGCTTAGCACACTCTCTCGACGATGCACTAACCGCAATACACTAAGAGACTCTTCGATGCATTCGACGACCCACTCGGCCCTCGCTGCCCGGCTGTCAACTCGATCGTCCCCGCACGGACTAACTAGATGAGACACACTCTAGACGAGGCACTCTCTAACTCACCCTCTCCACGAGGCGCACTCTTCTCTGACTGCGGACCAGCAGGGTTTATATAGCTTGTGTTCGAGAACATTCTGGGTTAAACCGGTAAGAATTCGTTCCAGAAAGTTTTCCATCCGTCCATGGTATATCGCCAATTTTGTCGCCAAATGGGCGATGTCTCGCCAAATGTGGCAACCCTGCCTTCCCTTGCCATTTTATGGCAACCCTAAAACTGCTTTGCGGGGAAGCTATCTTACCGTACCTGTACATTTCGTAACAATATTATTTTTGGATACTTAAAATTTGCACTCTTTTTAACTATAAACAAACAAGTAAATAAAATTGCTCAGTATTAAGCTTCATGGATGCAGGTTATCATTAACAATTTTATCTCTCTAAGAAACAAATTCATAAAATTGTGCAAGAAAATTTAATCGATGTAGATCTATATAAATAACGATTTCGTTGGATATGAAAACCAACAATCAAAGAGCCTTATAATTTATTTAGTATGCAAAGTTTGAAACACCCATTCATCGAACGATAGTCTGCTGGCCTTGAAATTTTATTTTAAAATTATGTACACTAGTTAATGAAAAATAACTTAATACATAAGCAGAAGTTTTATATATAATCTGTAATTAGATTAATTTTCCCGTAAAATGAAAATATGAGTAAATACTAGTACTGCTAATTGAAATAACACAATGAAAACTTGCCCTGTTAAGCTAAATTTAATGCACGGCTTAACGCAGTTAGATTCTTATCAAATTCCAAACTAAATTTACTAAAGCTAAATTTAATGCACGGCTTAACGCAGTTAGATTCTTATCAAATTCCAAAAATCGTAATCTCTAATCAAGGGTAAAATATTTTAACAAATCCAAATTATGTTTTCCCTTTCACTGCAAATTACAACCAAAGGGGAAGGGTCTGTGGAAAGAAACATGGAGCTAATAATGTTCGGGAGAGGAGGAAAAAAGAAAGAAAGAAAGTTAAGCAAATGTTGTAGGAAAAAGGCGCTTAACAACATTAGAAAATGCTTTTAAATTATGAAAAAAGCTTCGTTTTTCAAATGTACGTATTCGGAAATTAAGTACCGTTTCATTCTAGCGGCGTCGCAGCGCTGTGGTAGGCGTCCCGCGCATGCGCACTAGTCTTTCTTGTTCACTGACTTTCAATTGTCGCCATTTTGGTTGCTCTATGTTGTGTTTTCAGTTTGCTGTGCATATTCAAAATGTTTAAGACAATTAGTTCTCCCGCTGACTGCGAGATTCGTGCCGTGATTAAATTTCTAAAACGCGAGGAATGTTACCGGCCGAAATTTATCGTCAAGTGACAGACGTTTACGGTGAATACGCGATAAGTAATGGAACGGTGAGAAAGTGGGTTTAATGTTTAAGGCAGATCGAACAAATGTCCACGCCGAGGCTCGGAGTGGTCGGCCTTCTGTTGTCACCGATGATTTGGTAAGGAAAGTTGATGAAGCAATTCATGAGAACAGACACTTCACAATAACGACTCTTTCAGAGGCATTTCCACAAATTTCGCGTACTGTTTTGTTCGAAATTGTGTCTGACCGCTTGAATTATCGCAAACTGTGTTCCCGATGGGTTCCAAAAATGCTCACTGATGTTCACAAAACAAAACGACTTGGTAGTGCCCTGACATTTCTCACGCGGTTCAGTGATGAGGGAGAAAACTTTTTAAACCAAATTGTGACAGGTGATGAAACTTGGGTGTGTCATTTCACACCAGAATCGAAACAACAATCGATGGAGTGGAGACACACTCATTCTCCGTAAAAACAAAAGTTCGAAGTTACAATGTCACCACAAAAAATCATGTGCACTGTCTTCTGGCATAGGAAAGGCGTTTTGCTTACTGAATTTCTTCCCAGAGGTGAAACCATTAATGCGGCACGATATTTTGAGACTTTAACAAAACTAAGGCGTGCCATTCAAAACAAACGAAGAGGAATGCTCAGTACAGGAATTGTGTTGCTCCATGACAATGCTCGGCCCCATACTGCTGGTGTCACTCAATCGTTAATTCGACAGTTTCATTGGGAGCTGTTCGATCACCCGCCGTACAGCCCGGACTTGGCGCCGTCCGACTATCACTTGTTCCTGCACATGAAGCGCGAGCTTCGTGGCAAGCGCTTTGGATCTGACGATGACACGAAAAATGCAGTGGAGTCGTGGTTATCGAAACTGGCAAGAAGTTTCTTTGACGATGGTACAAAAACTGGTCACCCGCTATGACAAGTGTTTGATCATTGGCGGAAACTATGTTGAAAATTAGTTTAAGACATGTATTTTCATGTAAAAATAAAACTGGATTCGAAAAAATTGTTTTACTTTTTTTTGTCTTTTTTTCAAAACGGTACTTAGTTCCTGAATACGCCTCGTATTCTGTTGCAAATTTAACTTAGTATTGACACGACGTCAAAATTACGAATGTGCGTTGTTTGCAGTTTTCATCCGCATGCATCTTCTGCATTATTTTTCGATGTTTTACATTAAATTAAAAGAAAGAATTGCACATTCTAAAAAATAAAAATGTGAAAATTATGAATGTAGAAGTCGAAATTCGATTTTTTTTTTCAAGCCAAAGACATGCCTGATGTTTAAAGGCGATACCCTCTGCACAAAAGTTTTGTTTCGTGATCCTGACGATATAAATAATTAAAATTTTAAAATAAGTATATATGACTAGTGCTGGACGTCCCAGTTGAGAAGTTCGATAATTCTGTCTGAATTCCAGAAACATCCTTCGTCGTTTATTATTGTTTTCTAGAAAGGTAGGATTTAAATGAGCAATTTTAAGTACTCACAGCCCATTCCGCAAGGAACTGTTTTCCCAGCTCGTCTGCTTCCGATACAGGCATGGAAGTATTGTAGTCCCGAGCAATCTGCAATAAAAATAAATAAATTCAATAAAAATAAATATATGAATAATATCTATAGTTGGAATAAATTTACAAAACTAGTCGTACAGAGGCTGTTCACACATTTTTTAGACGATGCATATTGTATTCACAAAACTAAATTACATAAAATTGTGTTTTAAATGTTCTATTTGACATTCCTTATTCTGAACTATCTTTCGACACCGCAATTTCCAGGATAATAATGCCTTTTGAAGTCACAGAAGAGATATTCTATACCATTCCTCCCGAACAACTTTCCAGAGTCCTGTTAAGGTTTGGGGACAACGTTTGGATAATGCAGCTTTTAAAAACCCGAAAGCACAAAAATCCATAGGTGACACATAGGGAGATTTAGTAGTGATATCAGTGAAAGGTATGGCCTTGATAAAAGTTTTTTGTTCCATTTCTTTTAGGAAATTGACAGTGGATTTTGATGTGTGACTGCTAGCTTTGTCCTGATGAAGTCTCACAGGCACTGTGGGTAAAGCGATGGTATTTCATTCAGAAAAATTGGCGATAAAATATGTTCCTGATAGTATTTGGAGTTAATCTTGACAGTTTTTGCACTCTCTGTATTTTTTAACTTGCCATTATAAGAAAAACCAGCAACAATCATGAATCCCTTAGAAAAACTTTCTTTCGATTCTTTTAACCATGTACTTAAAATTTTTTCTCTCCTTTTGGCTCTTTTTTGCTACAATCATTTAAATACACGCATGCTTCATCTATTGTGACAATTGTTTTCCATTTTTCTTTGGATAAGTGTTTCTCGTATAGAATTCTGCAACGTGTCCTGAGTTTAGCGATATGCTTTGGAAGAAGACGATGCACATTGCGTTTTTTCGCTTTCTTAAGATTTAAATCAACGTTTATCATTTTGTTTACAGTGGACACCGAGCATTTTAATGATTTTGCAACTGTCCTTTGACTAGGGGGATTTTCTTTTAACATTAAACAACGTACCTTTGCAATAGTCGAAGATGTCCGTTTCCTTGGATACTTGTTTGGAATTTTTGTTCCACTTGAGGCTCCAGTTTGACGTTTTTTTCCCCCTTTCTTGTTGACGATATTATCTATCGACGCTTTAGATATCACAAAACCATGACTCTCACATCGTTTTTGGATAACGGAGTATGCATATTTCTCTTCGCAAAGAGCGTTAATGTAGCCTTGGAACCACTGCTTTGTTAAATTCGCCATTTTGAATAAAAACAAAACTTTCAAGCCACAGACGATAATTTTGACTTTTAAAACCATAGTACAATTGCAATTACTTCTTTTGCAGGAAACGATTTTTTATTACCGCTTATCAAAATCGTCTAAAAAATGTGCGCACAGCCTCTGTACATTTTTTGGCTTCCAGGATAAGCCTTCAGCCGCGAATAAACAGAAAATTAAAATCCTTAAACCAGAAAGAATATTTCATTCACCTTTTAGGCTTCGTTTAGACAGTAGTATAAATGTCATAACTGAGCTTTGTTGCTAGGTAACCAGATCTTGTTACGCAACAAAAACTGGTTTAGGATTTTTGGTATGAAGTTCGAAGTTTTCAACCTTATGCCTACTTGGTATAAGAGTCGACGAATCACAGCGAATGCGCAAAACCGAAAAAGCTATAGACACATCCACGCATGCGGAAGTTTAGCTTCTCTAATTGGCTACAACTTAGACTTTGTATCGCAAGTGTGAACGAAACTCTCGCATTTTAAGCCTTATGACTATAACTCTATGACATTTATACCACCGTCTGAACGGAGCTTTACATTCCCTCTTCCCCCCAAAAAAGTGTTTCACTTCGGTGATCAATATTTACATATAAAGCATGAATGAAAACTCTTATATTTTGCGAAATATTAATATAATAAATATTAAATTTGAAAAAATGAGTTCAAAGCTTACTTTAATATCTTCTTTCCAAAACCGAGATGTTTTTGACATGCTTAGTCTCGGAGCGACTTCTTTGATCTGCAGAGTTATACATATATACAAATATTATTTATACGAAGCTGCAAATGTATACAACAAATTACATATATATATATGCAAGATACAAAACATAAAAAGCAACTATTAACAAAATAACTAATTTAATTGACAACAGATTTTTAATTCCTAATTTTAATTTAAATAGAACCCCCTTCAAAGGATCTGCACCGCGCCTTTTGCGTCATTAGTTCTGCAGTAATCCGCAATGCTGTAAGCTCTTGCCCAATCGCTCTAAAGAAAATCTCCCGAGCTTATGTATACGCCTGCTAAAGTACGCAGTCACTCTTTGATTTCTGCTTGAGTAACCAAGGTCTCTTCGCCCAGCTGTATCTGTTATTATTTGAACTAAAATACTCTTAAAATGTGATGTGTATATAAAAATTTGATGAGCTTAGAGCACCTCTAGTATTGTACCAGTCAGGAAAATATGTACTATGAAATTAGTCGTCCAGGAATAAAATGACATTTTAACTATCCAGTAATTTATCAGTTCCAGAGCTCCAGTCATTTATGCAACAGTTTCAAGTTAGCTTCATTCACGTTCTTCGTTTCAATTTAGCTTCAGTGCATAGCTTATATACGCTATTCGTGTATAAGCTATGTACCTCTCTGTTATCATCCCAACCGCGACTGCTAAGTAATGCATTTCAACATCTAGTCCAGGGATGTCAAACTCATAGGTGCACTTGGGCCAAACAAATAAGGCTTAACTTTAGGCGGGCCGCAAAGAAAAAAAAAAAAAAAAAAAATCAATATTCATAGAAACGTAGATTTATTTCGAATAATACAATAATAAACATATATATATATTTATATAGAAAAGAACAAGAAAAATTTAATGTTTACGTCCTGATATTTGACATCTCTTCTCTGCTATTATCTTTCCTATTTCGGGAGAAATTTTGTTTGCAGTGATAACTTTCAACGCTGACCCAAGGTGAGCATCATTAATACGGTTTCTAATAGGAGACTTATTACCTTTCATGACTGAAAATAACTGCTCGCACCGATAAGTGCTACCAAACACGGAAATAATTTCATATGCGAATTTTCGAGTATTTTCAAACCTGGCTGGTAAATATTTGTAAAATTCAGGCACGCCCACTTCAATGAATTTTGCTTTCAAATTTGAGTTGCATTGAATCTCGATCAGCTCCATTTGCATATGGCTGGGTACTGAGTCAATACTTATTGAGAAAATCGAAGAAAAAAAAAAAAAAAAAAAAAATTGTCTTCGGGGGAACTAAAATCATTAAACCTCGTTTCAAATTCAGTTGTTAAATTTGCAATTTTTTCTGCGTATTTTTGATACGAACAAGTATCATCTAAACTTGATTTGTTCATGCTGCACGTCGGGAAGTGCGTCAAATCTTAATTTTTAAGTTGGTTTTCCCAAAGAACTAGTTGACATTTGAATGCTTTAATTATGTCAAACATGTTCTTAATGATATGATCTTTTCCTATCGTACAAAACTATGATTGGAAAACTGAGACCATGAGTTCGGCTATCGGGGGATGCGTACAAGTTCTGAGTGCACGTGTCCCCCAAAAGCCGAAGATAGCTGAACGCAAGCTACTCACACGCATTTGTAATTTAAGTAGTGTGTGTGTGTCATCTCGCTGTGAGTAATCTAACAACACTGAATAAATTATCGTTAATTACTTAGCAGTAAACATTTCATTGTTTTCTTCGTCGATAAGTTATTTTATTTTTATATATTATTATTTGCCTATATATTGGCCGAGCCGCAAAAATATTTGTTGTGGGCAACATGCGGCCCGCGGGCCGCGAGTTTGACATCCTTGGTTTATTATAAAAGTGTAAATCACTTTTCATATTGATGCCACCAAATATTAGAGACCTGCATTATATTCAAAGAAATTAAATAATGAAGAATTTGCATAAATGATTGTATGTTTCTGGCATTGTGAAGAAACATCGATACCTAAAGACATCAAATTTTGAATAACTCGAATATGGGGATCTGGAAGTCCAAATTTGGAATTTGTTTTATTATATATTTTCTAGAACGTTAACGAAATTTTGATTAACAAACTCAACTACTTCAAAGCGAAAAATGGAAACACTGTAAGGAAAAAATAACGTTTTTTTATCTCCAACGCGCGAGACTGCGTATCGGAAATTCTAAAGATATGCCCATTTTTAAATTATTTTGCGATATTGCTGTTGAATTGAATTTTATGGTTTAAGTGCGAAGAACGTCATATTTAATAAATAAAGGTAATTCACAAAACGTTAAAAAAACGTCCCTTTGGGCGTAATGTAAAATATGAATTCTTTCAGATTTTTTATTTACTTTTAATTAATTTATTTATTTATTTATTTATTTTTTTTATTCAAGCAGATTTAATTTATTAGACGGCTGAAAACGTCTAATGAATAACGCAGTTACAGAGTTCCCTCAATATAGCGGAAAAAGGAATGTTCCTCTTACTTTACCTTAAGTACGACAACTGCTGATAAGAATATGCAGACGATGTTGACTAGTGCCAGAGCTAGAGAAACTAAACCTAAGATAACGCACTCCCTATCCATTTCTGTAAAGTAGTTGACTTCATACGCTTCAGGAGGTACAAGAGAAGGTTTCAGCAGGTGAGTTACTCCTTCAACGCGTACCTGTCGCAAAACAATAATAAACAGAATTAAAGTCATATTATATCTTTCTTCGGAAGATACACATATCCACAGTAATAGTAAATTGCCTCAGCATTAATAGTCTTCCAAACAGAAAAAAGTAAAGATCTTATGTAAAATATGTAAATATTTACTTCTGTATAATATCCGTGAGGGCTAATATAATGAAATGCTTAATTAAGGGCTTGGCTGAGAAACTCAAAAAATTTCAGTCCTAGTTATAAAGAAGATTGGTAACTGCTAAAGTACCGATGATATATATTTTAGCGATAATGGCAGATGACCAGGAATTTAAGCCACATTAGAAGATTAATTATGAACGAAAATCTATAAATTGGCGACTCAAGCTGGAAGGCTAAGCTTTAAGAGCATATATGCTCGCAGAGTTCATTAAAAACCACATATCTTCTATGGTTCTTATAAACTGAGGCTGCAGATTTACGCTTTGAATAATTCATCAAATATAATACTTGAAATAATTTTAAATGAATGCAGACTTCTACTGCAAATTATGAAAAGAAACCAGACAAAAGCTTCTAAGCAAAAATATTATTTATTCTTATTTTATGTTTTAAGTTATTAGATGTGTCCATATCGTAGCAAACCATTAAATCTTATATTTACATATTCAAAGATTTTGTTGAGACTATATAAGGGACAGAATTATATTTTAAATTCAATTATCATAAAAGGCAGATAATAGGATGTTCGTTTTTTTTTTTCCTCAAGCATAATGTAGAAGGAAGATACAATAATGATTTTCTAGATGGTAATGTACCATGCAACATGAATACCTGTCACACACACACACAAAAAAAAAAAAAAAAAAAAAGGGACAGTTCTACATCTACCTTTTTAATGCGCCTATTGACTAAATTTAAGGGGACTTATACACCTTAAAACCCGAAAGATCTTCGAATATGTGGCTGTTGCAAGAATGGGGGTAACTTATTTATTTTAAAAGCAGTTACTTCCAGCGTTTTACAGCTGACTACATAATATAGCTGCTTTCTGAAATAGTCATCAGAAAGTTTTTAATGCCACGAATATTTTTATACTTTAATCGGCTTTGCGACAAAATGTTTTGTCATGTTTCCACCTTGCGCGCACAGTTTAAGACATTCTGTTGCATAATTTAATTCCATGTTTAATATATAGCTTTTATAATATTTGGAAACTACTGTGAACCACAAATTCTCGGAATTTCATGTTAAATTTTTATTTTATTTGAAGTTGAGTTTATAAAAATGTATTTTATTAAAAAATCTGTAATGTTTTCGTGTATACATTTTTTTAATATTAAAACATTCATCAGATTTTTGGTTCAGTTAGAAAATAGCGCCCATATAAAGAATTCTATCCAATTTCAAGTATGTACCATGAGCCATTTTTTTGAAATATCGTGAGCGCAAGGTGGAAACATAACGAAACATTTTGTTACAAAGCGGATAAAATTACAAAAATATTTGTGGCAACACAAACTTTCTGGTTACTAGTTCCCAAAGCAGCTATATTATGTAGTCAACTGTAAAAAGTTGGAAGTAATTGCTTTTAAAATAAATAAAATATCACAACTCTTGTAATAGTCACATATTCGAAGATCATAAGGGGTTTAAAGTGTATAAGCCCCCTTAACTTGTGCTTTTTCATATCTGGAAAGCTCCATTTAAGATATATATTATCCCAGAAATATCAGGGGTAAGTGGTAGCCGAGGTAGAAGATAGGACAAGAAGCAAGAGGGATTAATTTGAAGCGTTTATTGGACATAAATACAAATGGTATACGACAGCTTGAATGTTACAACAGATGCTCGAAGTCTGCACCATCAGACACAAAACATGCCTGACACCGGACCATTTGAACGCCGCGAATTATTGAATCTTTCTGGAGCAGGTTCTTCCCGATTTGCTTGAACAATGTTCAACAAAATGTGAGGCGCAACATGGGATTCCAACATGATGGGTACCCTGCTCATTTTGGACTTGATGTTCGGAGCCATTTGAACAGATCATTCCCGCGTCGATGGATTGGGCGTGGTGGACTCGTTCCGGCCCCCACGCTCACCGGATTTATCAAGCCTTGATTTCTTTTTGTGGGAAGCCATCAAAAGCGTCATACATCACGATGCTGTTGTGTGTGAAATGCATCTGACGGCAAGACTCACCTGCGAAGCTGCTACAATCAAAGAAACTGCCGGTGGGTTTGAACATGTCCGGCAACGATCATATTCGTAGCGGTGACAGCGAACAGGTAGGTCGTATCGCAGTTTTCTCTTTCATTCTTGACTTGAACTGACCCAGTCCCGTAAGAGGTCAATAATTATATTACTACTCTTTGATTAGTTACTTGCGGGTAAAATGCCCTTATATAGGACACCTCGAGACTAATCTGATGAAGATGACAACCTTAGTGAAAGAGATTCCTTAAGCTCCTTTTATTCGAACAAGACGTTACCACTTAGGAAAGAGGACTTTGTGGTTAAAGATGAAGAAAGGTAAAGCGAAGAAGGCCAAAACGATGGATATGGATACAGGATCAGCGCAGAAGCAGACTGAACAAGGATAACGGAAATGAAGACAACCTCATTAAGAACAGAAAGAAAGGCAGAGATATATAGAAAATAATCTTCAAAGTTCGTGGAGTTGATGCAATGCTCGAAGTCATAAAGGCTTCTACCCCTGAGCAATTACTGAAAACTAACCCACAGAACTCTGGACAAGTCACTACCGAAAAAGGACTGATTCCTGAGAAAAAAAGTGAAGAAGCAAAGCAACCGAAGTTAAAAAATGGATTTCCCCGAAGAAGACTGCCAAAAATAAACAGATTGAAGAACCGATGCAGATTTACAAGGAAAGTAGATTCCAAGTCCTTGAAACGGCAGCTAATGCAGACGAAGGAGGAACAAGTTACGAAGAAACGCCCTCACCAATTGTATTGCAGCAGAAAACTCCGGATTGATTGAAAGTACATGAACTGTTTGTATAAGTGTGTGAGGACGAATTTGAAACTGAAATAAAGGTTACTTCTATCTACGTCAACGTGAAGAACAAAGACGACTACAAGAATGCTACGAAAATACTTCAGGAACGAAGTATTCGCTATCACTCCTTCCAGCTGCAGAGCGAAAAATCGCTTTGAGTGGTAATAAAGAATTTACCAAATGCTGTAACTAAAGAAGCAATTCTACAGGACCTGGAAAAAAGGAAATTTCCTGCGATGAAGGTGAAACAGTTTCGAAGAAGTCGCAAGAATAATTTTGAGAAGCTTCCCATATTCTTAGTGGAATTGAAGAAGACGGCGGCGGGTTTTGCGATGCACCAGCTCAATAGTATGTTCGGACTGAACATAAAAATTGAAAAATTCGTACCGAAAAAGAGACCTCTGCAGTGCTACCGGTGCCAGGAATATGGGCATTCCCAGCACCTCTGCTCAAATCCTGAACGGTGTTATAAGTGGGGGAAATCCCACATAAGTAAGGCTATGCCCGTTAAAAGATGAAGAGAAGCCCACCTGTATTTTCTGTATTGAAGCACATGTGAGTTCTTATCGAGGTTGTTCGGCGTATAAAAAACGTTTCTACAGGAAGAGAACTATGCCAAAATAGAAGATGCTAGTACCAACTCCAGCAGATTTTCCCCAGCTGACCATTTCTGATGCAAAAGCGGAAAAGAAAGATTTTTAGTTATCTTAAAGAGAGAACGAAGAAGGAGCGAAGAAGCGAATTCAGCCTCCTCCCGAAGAGATGTCGGAAGCAATGTCTTGGCTGCAAGATAAGAAGATTAAAAATTTCTTAAGTACATTCATCGCAAGTATAGAGAAGATACGTGCAGCTGTAACTAAAGAAGATACACTGCGGAGAAGTTTGCTGCAGGTTTCCGAGCTTCCTTAACTCTGATGAAGTTTGCAGAAATTGAAGATTAGACTTTGGACTTTGGAAATGCCAGTTATCTCAATCTGAACATCCATATTCAAGAAGTTCCTCTCGGGGTCAGTACTTGGGTGGGTGACCAACCACGTGACTGGCTCCGACGAACCATCACTCCATCTCAGTGAAGAGAATTCACAGCTCGAGCGGCATCCAATGAGGACTTACCAAATGCTTCTCCAGATTTATTCAATAATCTCAAACTACGTACACTAAGTACATGACTAGCTAAGTACCTGGCTTATACGGCGCGGCGTTAATCGCCTTTTTCAAAATTACCTACCGACGCCTTAGGGTAATTCCCAAACGAGATAGTTAAAGCAGTAATTGCTGCTATATGCTGCCCTAACCAGTCAATTGATCTGATCAGGCATATTTGGCGTCTGATGGTGCAGACTTCAATCATCTGTTGTGACATTCAAGCTGTCGTACACCATTTGTATTCATGTCCAATAAATGTTTCAAATTAATTCCTTCTGTTTCTTTTCCCATCTTCTACATCTGCTACCACTTACTCCTGACATTTCCGGGCATGGGTTCCTATGCAATTCTTAATCCTTATGATATGCGCTACCTCCCCTGTAAGTTCGTCGCAACATTTCCGGTACACTCTGTGTAGCACTGTTCTAACAAAGGCATTTTGATACAAAATCGGAATTTTTATGAAATAACATGCGGATTCTTTTTTTCCATATTTCAAATGTACTGCTCAAATTCTGCCAAAGTGTCAGCTTTCGTAAAAATTGCACGAGTAGTTGTTAAAAACTCAGCTCTCAAAATGTTACCTCCAAACCAAATTGAATTTGTTATACATTATATTTATTAATATATCTTTTTTTTTATTAACTTTACTTGACTCCCTCTTTCGCTTTTCGAAAGTTATGTTCAATTCAAATGAAATTCGCAACTAACTTCTGATTTAATTTTAAGGGGACTCATACACCTTAAGCCCCTCATGATCTTCGAATATGTGACTATTGCAAGAATTGGGATATTTTATTTATTTTAAAAGCAATTACTTCCAACTTTTTACAGCTGACTTCATGATATAGCTGCTTTGGAAACTAGTAACCAGAAAGTTTGTGTTGCCACAAATATTTTTGTAATTTAGTCCTCTTTGTGACAAAATATTTCGCCATTTTTCCACCTTGCGCGCATGATATTTTAAAAATGGCTAATGGTACATACCTGAAATTGGATGGAATTCTTTATATGGGCACTATTTTCTAACTGAACCAACAATCTGATGAATGTTTTACTATTGAAAAATTTTTATGGACGAAAACATTACAAATTTTTTTTAATAAAATACATTTTTATAAACTCAACTCCAAAAAAAAAAAAAAATTTAAAATTCAAACACGAAAATTTTTAGAAGTTTTTAGGTTCACAGTAGTTTCCAGACGTGCTATAAAAGCTATATATTAAATATGGAATTAAATTATGCAACAGAATGTTTTAAAACTGTGCGCGCAAGTTGGAAACATGACGAAAAATGTTGTCACAAAGCGGATTAAATTATAAAAATATTTCCGGCAACACAAACTTTCTGATGACTATTTGAGAAAGCAGCTATATTATGTAGTCAGCTGTAAAAAGTTGGTAGTAATTGCTTTTAAAATAAATAAGTTATCCGAATTCTTGCAACAGTCACCTATTCGAACATCTTATGGGTTTTAAGGTGTATGAGTCCCCTTAAATTTGCATTTTTAGTAATTTTTGTAAATTTTTCGAAAAACGTTTTGAAACATGACCTGTAAAATTTTTATTATCACCTTAAATTAGTTGTATTTCTAGGCATACCTGTAAAAAATTAGAGTTCCTTATTCAAAATTTTCATAGATATATGTGATTTTATTTATTGGCGCGTTTTGAAATTTGGTATATTTGTTATAAGCGATAATAACGACGAATGTGCTTTACGGACTTTGGTAAAATTATTTGAAAGAATGAACAATGAACCTTTTAAACTTTTTTTTCGCTTGAACACAGTGCAAAAAAGGGAAAGAAAATAGGTTACTACATAAATTAAGAATTTCATAAAGTGAATTATTCTGGGCGGAAACTGAGAAGAAGTACGCCGAGATAAATTTATAAATTTATCGTTAGGTTTCTCGCCGAATTTTACAAAATTTAATATTTAGGCATAATTTGAGCCTTAGCCTTTTAACTGTCATGCCCGAGATAATCTCGGGCACAGCACTGGTGTTCGAAAATGTCACGCCCGAGTATTACTCGGAGTGGTTTTTTTTTTTTTTTTTTTTTTTTTTTTTTTTTTTTGAGTGCATCGTATTGTTATACCCGAATATATATCGGGAGACGTTTATTTCGGCTTCATCTCTTTGTCAAACCCGACTGTATCTCGGGAAAAGTTAATGTGCGCTTATTTCAATAGATGACAGCACTTTACTGAAGATTTCAAAGGTTAGAGGTTATAAGTTCTTTCGTTCAAAATGCATGGGATCTTTTTGTTGTAAAATGGCGTCCAGTTCTTTTGAAACGTTATATAGATGATTTAGATTCTTCAACCGAAGATGAAGGATGTGTGTTTGATGAGCAGTATTCATGATACTTCCATGGATCAGCCTCAAAATTAAAAAAAAAATTTTTTTTTAAAAATGAAGATATACTCAAGGCCAAAGATTGTTTCTGACTGCAATCTAACTAGGGTGGTGTAGATTCGCTGTGATAGGCCAAGAACTATCCTTTCATCCAACAATCTGTTAAAACATCAGAAAAAATATTGTAAAAAGATATTTCTACATTTATTAGAGACAAGGTACTGTGGAAATCATTATTTGCTCTATAAAAATGTAGTTGGGAAACGTATTACATTTTCTAGAATTTCGAACCCAAGTTGTAGAAGAGCTTTTACATAAATATGATGATGCAGCTTCTGGACAAAAGAATGTTGGCAGACCACCTACAATAGATAACCCTGCCCGTCTTACTGAACGACACTTTCATATCCCATATTCCTCCTAACTCCTGCGAAACGTGCGCCTACAAGACAGTGCAAAGTGTGTTGTTCGAAAAAAGGATAAAAATGAGGAAAAGATAAGGAAGGAATCACGATTCTGGTGTAGTGATTGTGGAGTTGGTTTGTGCTTGGAAAAGTGTTTCCAGTTGTACCACACAAGACTGAATTACTGAAAATACTAATAGGTATTCACTTTATATTTACTTATTTTTTTCATTTATTTATTTTTAGAAAATAATAATTATTTTTTTTTTCATTTTTAGAAAATAATGCTCCACTAGAAGCGAACTTTACAACTGCCATGTTGAGTGGCAGCCTCCTCAAGCAAATATGCAGTGGCTACAAAACTTTAAAAATTTTACCTATGTACTTCAAAATATCAATTTTTAACTACTTAAGAATATTTTATTTTGTACTAAACATTTGATTTTTGCAATAAAAAAATTTGACAATTTGTGTACCCAAATCATCAAAATAACTTGACAGTTAAAGGGTTAGAATCGGTATATGGAAACAATCAATATGTAATTCAGGAAAAGTCCGATTTTGTGTTAAAATTCCTACGTTAGATCAATGCTATATATAAATCTAATATATATCCTAAGTCCGCTTTTAAGACATGAAAAACGGAGCTTAAATTTCGTGAAAAATATCATTTTATTTTCTCCATTGATCACAACCTTAGTACTTAAATGGATAAATACATTCGTCGTAAGTTTCGATAAAATTCTATAAATAAGATTTCCAGATTTATTCATGAGAAGGAGAACGAAGATCTATAATATCATTTCTTATCAGTGCACTATTAAAAACATTACGAAGTATCTAAATGGCAGTTATTACTGTAAATGATAAGATATACTATTGTAAAATAATTTCGGAAGTAGGGAAATAGGCAATAAAACAAATGTGAAATTTTTGATGGATGTCAAATATCAAATAAGCTTCTGTCCTTTCATTTGATTTTCGAAAATTACATCGCTTACTCTAGTACCAAATTGTTAAAAGTACAGGTGAAATTTAACAATGATATTTAAATCATCAAAGTGATAATTGGTATCGATTACATCAATAAATTTAGGTAGCATGTTACGTACATCTTCAAGGGGAAGACAACTATCAGGGTATGTTGATCAAAACTCAATATGTAGTAATTTGATATAATAAGGCACGATTCATTTATATCAAAATTCTTTCAGAATAGCTAAACTCTACAATTACAGAAATTTTAATTATCAAATTACTATAGTGATAAAAATGGTCGTAAATATTGCACCTACATATTTTCTTTTAAAAAATTAATATAGGATATAAAATGTATTTATTTAATTAAATCATCCATTAAAATTATTTTTAAGAGCACATTAAATCTATATACGTAGCGTATTCGGAAACTAAGTACCGTTTCATTCTAGCGCCATCGCAGTGCTGTGGTAGGCGTCCCGCGCATGCGCACTAGTCTTTCTTGTTCACTGACTTTCAATTGTCGCCATTTTGGTTGCTCTATGTTGTGTTTTCAGTTTGCTGTGCACATTCAAAATGTTTCAGACAATTAGTTCTCCCGCTGCCTGAGAAATTCGTGCCGTGATTAAATTTTTGAACGCGAGGAATGTTAAACCGGTCGAAATTTATCGTCAAGTGACAGAAGTTTACGGTGAGTACGCGATAAGTGATGGAAAGGTGAGAAAGTGGGTAAGAATGTTTAATGCAGGTCGAACAAATGTCCACGCCGAGGCTCGGGGTGGTCGGCCTTCTGTTGTCACCGATGATTTGGAAAGGAAAGTTGATGAAGCAATTCATGACAACAGACGCTTCACAATGCTTATCTTTCAGAGGCATTTCCACAAATTTCACGTACTGTTTTGTTCGAAATTGTGTCTGACCGCTTGAATTATCGCAAACTTTGTTCCCGGTGGGTTCCAAAAATGCTCACTGATGTTCACAAAACAAAGCGACTTGGTAGTGCTCTGACATTTCTCACGCGCTACAGTGATGAGGGAGAAAACGTTTTAAACCGAATTGTGACAGGTGATGAAACTTGGGTGTGTCATTTCACACCAGAATCGAAACAACAATCGATGGAGTGGAGACACACTCATTCTCCGAAAAAACAAAAGTTCGAAGTGACAAAGTCACCACAAAAAATCATGTGCACTGTCTTCTGGGATAGGAAAGGCGTTTTGCTTACTGAATTTCTTCCCAGAGGTGAAACCATTAATGCGGCACGATATTGTGAGACTTTAACAAAACTAAGGCGTGCCATTCAAAACAAACGAACAGGAATGCTCAGTACAGGAATTGTGTTGCTCCATGACAATGCTCGGCTCCATACTGCTGGTGTCACTCAATCGTTAATTCGACAGTTTCATTGGGAGCAGTTCGATCACCCGCCGTACAGCCCGGACTTGGCGCCGTCCTACTATCACTTGTTCCTGCACATGCAGCGCGAGCTTGGTGGCAAGCGCTTTGGATCTGACGATGACACGAAAAATGCTGTGGAGTCGTGGTTATCGAAACTATCGGGAAGTTTCTTTGACGATGGTATACAAAAACTGGTCACCCGCTATGACAAGTGTTTGATCATTGGCGGAAACTATGTTGAAAAATAGTTTAAAACATGTATTTTCATGTAAAAATAAAATTGGATTCGAAAAAATTGTTTTAATATTTTTTTTTTTTTTTCAAAACGGTACTTAGTTTCCGAATACGCCTCGTATTCCGAATTAATATCCAATTTTCTATATGAAAACATTAAAATGCAGTTTACTCTTCAGATATAGTAAAAAAACATAGTTTCTATTTTGAAAAAACTTTAATGATAAAAAAATTCATTAATATCTCATTTTTATCTGATGACAATGAGAAAGAAATTAATTAATAACAATTATTAGCGCACCAAATGTCATAAATATGCTATTGAAATTTATAAAATATCGCATACTGCATATTTAAAAAGGAAAAAAAAAAAAAAAAAAAAAAAAAAAAAAAAGAAAAGAGAGGAAAAAGAAATACAACAGAATAACAGAAACAGCTATAACAAAAATATTGATCAGACAGAGTTAAAGCGTACAAACTGATACTGTTCTTCTTGAGCACGAAGTGTTTTAATGGTTGCCATTCCCCACAATAAACCCTGAAAGAGAAAAGAAAAGATAAATATTTACTCTAAATTCCAAATATTTATGTTTCTCAATTAAAAAAAAAAAGTAAATACTCTAAGAAAATGATGCTGCTTGATAAAAAAAAACAACACTGCATTGGAAGATAATGTTTTCAAATTAAACCTAAAACATTAAAAATTATTTGACTTATAAAAATCTCATTATGGATTTAATTATGAAATATTTATCAGCATGTTTTATGTAAAATATGATCATGGAAGGAATTGCAAAATAATTGCTTTATTAAAATATTGGTTTAGAAAATAAAATATTTAAACAGATTCTAATTTTTCATTTTATCGTTTGCAAATTAAGAGCTAAATAAGTAATATAAAAAAAATTTTTTTGAAGTCAATTCCTATTTAGGTCAAAAAAAATTTAAAAATACGAAAAAAAAATTTTAAATGCAAAAAAGTTTTTTAATTTAAAATTTTTAATATGTGAAAAAACTGTATTAACATCAAGCATCATCCTCTGCAAGTTTAAAAAAAAAGTATTTGAATTTGAGGTGGATGAATAAAAAGTATTTGACTAACAATTGAACACTAATTAATTAAATCAAAAATTTGTCAACAAAGAAAAATTTTTTTAAATTAAACAAAAAAAAATTAATTAAAAATTTTAAACATTTTTATATATGAAAAAACTGTATTAACATCAAGTGTCCTACCCTACAAGTTTAAAAAAATATATTTGAATTTGAGTGGATGAATAAAAAGTATTTTATTAACGATTGAAAAACTAATTAATTAATAATTAATTAAATAAAAAAAATTGTCAACAAAGAAAATTTTTTTAAATCCAAAAAAATATTTTAGTATTAACATCAAGTGTCATCCACTACAAGTTTAAAAAAGTGTATTTGAACTTGAGTGGATGAATGAAAAGTATTTTATTAATGACTGAAAATTTGAACAAAATATAGGAGTGTGAGCTAATAGTAGGAATTTAAAAAGGCCAGCTATAAGCAACAAGAACTGGAGTAACGTAAATAAATTCTCATAACTATATTTTCGAAGATTATACACAGATTCCTCTTCTGCAGCGATGTGAGTAAAAATGACGAAAACAAAAACATATGCCTACGTACAGGAAACATATTGTCTAATATATAACCAAAATATCACCTGTTTCATAGAACTGTATGATCTAATGAACTAACTGAACCAGTATAGTATAAATACATCTGTAGGAAACTTATAGGATTTTCTGAGTGTCCTAAGATCTTCTTATGAAGTGACAGAGTATACACTTTGAAATATAGCTTAATCATTATCATGGAAAGAGATCAAAAACACTGCGAAAAGTAAATCATTAACGGGAATACTCACAGCGTTCACAGCAGGTGGCAACAGCGAAGCAGAGATGGCTACTCCCACCAGAGATCCTGCATTTCCGGCTAGCACAGATAACGCTACACCAGCACCCGAAGGAAGTGCAATAAATATGCCTATCCATAAACTTCTTTCTACACCCCTGAAAAAATAATTAGATAATAATGTGCACTTCTAATGCAGACATAAATAAAAGACTCTTTTCCTCCAAAAAAAACTAAAAAACTGTTTTAAAATGAATTCTGAAGAGAATTTTTCGTGGAGTCTATACGAACGTATGTACGTACGTACGTGCGTGTGTACGTACGTATCTCGCATAATTCAAAAGGAGTAGCCTCAGAACGTTGAAATTTTTGTACATAAGACTACTATAACATGTAGATGTGCACATCGTATTTTGGTTTCAATCGGCCGCGCCAAACGTATATAAATATATTTATAAATATATCCACTCTGTTACCCGGCTGAGTGATCTCAGTTTCTTTACTCTTATATGTTTGTAAATTGTAAATTTTTTGCTGTAAAAATGATTGAATTATGTTGTTTTTATCTTCCGGTTAAGGGTTTTATGCCTTTAGTAAATCTGTATGCAATATTTTTAGAATTATCAACAATTTTAAAGTTGTTTAAGTGCCGCTAAGCCTAATTTGATGGCGGCCATTGCTCTTGTTTACATTTGAAACAGCTGAGTAGCGGATTTGTTGCCAATCTAGAGAAACATAACTTCGCAACAACAAAGATAACGCCTTCATTTATTATTTAAATCATGCTTAATCCTTTCTAGAATTTTTTCGAGGAAATAAGCGTTTCAGATTTACTTCGTAATTTTTAATACAGATATTTTGAGTTTTTATGTATTTCTGCCTTGTCGCGAAGTGAAAACTGAAGTAATTGAATGAGAAATACTCAATCGTCTGTGAAAAACTGTTTCTTTTTTGTTTTGTTTTCTTAATTTCTTTTATACATCGTTCTAGCTTTATTATAGTATCTGTATAGGACATGTGGCAACGATTAGATAATTCTTTAAATGATATAAATTTTGTGCATTCTGAGTTATAATATGAACGAAATATAAGACTGTTAAGTAAACCTAACGCCAGAGTGTCGCTATGGTAAGCAAAGTGAATTTTAAAGAATGCATTTATTCTATTGTGGTTTATGCGCTGTCGGCGAAGTAGGTTTAATTCAATCTAATAAGTTTAAATGAAATGCAAGAAAAAATGCGTATAATTTAATATTCCGTACAAGGAAGTCATGTGGTGTACACATCAGATTTTTAGTCCAAAGAAACAATTTGCCCAGAAGGACTATTAATTTCGTTTTCGTATCGTCCGTTGGTTCACGAAAAATGTCGGTTCACTTTTCAAATCGTTTCCACAAAATATTATTGCCGTGCATTATATTTAAAGAAATTAAATTATGAAGAACCCGCATATTTGTTAGAGCCATCAAATTTTGAATAACGTAAGTATTCACCCGAATATGGGCATCTGCAGGTCTAAATTTCGAATCTGGAATTTGTTTTATTATCTATTTCATATTTTGTAAAAATTGAACGAATTTTTGATAAACAAACTCAAAAAGATTTCAAAGCGAGCAAATGGCAACACTGTAAAGGAAAAAAAAAAAAAAAATTTATCTCCAGCGCGCGGAACTGTGTATCGGAAAACCTAAAGATATGCTCATTTTAAAATTATTTTGCGACATTGCTATTGAACTGAATTTTATGGCTTAAGTTCAAAGAACGTGATATTTAATAAATAAAGGTAACACACAAAACGTTAAAAAAACGCCCCTTTGGACATAATTTAAAATCTGAAACCTTTCATACTTTTTTTTAATATTTTTTTATATGTACAGTACAAATTCCGTAATCCGGACTTGTCGGGACTTCGCCGATTCCGGATTAGGGGTTTTTCCAGATTATAGATCATCAGTTTAAATCCGGTACGATAGCATGCAGAAATTATACAATTAAAAATATGAAATCGTAATTTATGAAATAAAGAACAATTATGATCTAAAGGGTATCAAAATTTACAAAAAAAAAAAAGGTTAATATTTATTTGTTTACTTTATTAAACATTTCTTTAAATATAAGTTGTTTAAGATGCTTCCACAAAAAATTCAAAGAGTTCCTTTTTCTTGTGTTATATATAGTGGACTTCCCAATGCCATACTTCTCGCATAATTTTGAGACGGATAGGCCTTTATCCATTTTTTGCAGCAATTCCACTTTTTGTTTAATGGACATCGAAACATGCTTTCGTTTTGTAGATCCAGAATTAGAAACTCTTTTTGACATAATTGAAAGTTCAAGCTTAATTTTTATGAAATTACTTTAACAGTCTGCAAAAAATAATAAGCCGGTTCCAATTAGAAGATTAAGGAACAGCGTAATCTGCAACATTAATTGAAATGCCTTAGATAGTTTTAGCCTAGCTTATACCGTCCGTTATACATTAACTGCGCATGCGAAAACGCATTAAGTGCATAAAGTTTGTAGCTTTATGTCCAGATTATAGATCATTCCGGATTATGGACGACCGGATTATAGACTTTGTACTATATATATATATTTAATTACTTGAAAGTAGGAACGACGCCACTTTTTTTCTCCAGCGCGCGAGACTGTGTATCGGAAATTCTAAAGATACGCTTATTTTAAAATTATTTCGCGATGTTGAACTGAATTTTGTGGTTTACGTGAGAGGAACGTGATACTTAATAAATAAAGGTGACACACAAAACGTTAAAATACCCCTTTGGGCATAATATAAAATCTGAAAGATTTCAGATTTTAAATTTGTTACTTATTTTTTAATTATTTATTTTTTAAATTTATTTTTGATTAAATGTTAAGCCTTTACTCACTGCGCTAGTTTATCTTTACTTTCAGAATGTTCATCTACTACTTAAGTACACAGGAAACCACAGAATGAGCAGCTGCTCCGACTGAAAGATTTCACCTTTTTATTCTCATTTAGTAGCTTTTATTTTTTAAAAAAATATTCTTTGAATACAAAATTTTGATATAGTTGTGATATAAATGTTATAAAGAATTTCTTACACGTTTACAAATAATTACGTGTAAAATACACTGTTACAAAGAATGTTACATGTTACAGAGGTTTTTTACTGTGAAGTATAAAATTTTGTTAAATGTACAACATAGACGACACCATAAAGGATTTTGAAGCTGCGTAAGTTTTGATAAATTAAAGCACTGTTGTGGAATATTTCACGAAGAGTAATGCAAAGTTGATGAGCAGAGTTGTTAGTGGATACTTTTTGACATAAGGTCTGAGATTCTGAGAAGATTATAATTTTCTGATTTTACAATTCTGAGTATTTTAAAAATTATGAGAAAATTAAACAATTTAGAAAAATTATTTAACAAAATCAAATAATGTTAATAAAATAAATATGAAACTAATAAAATAAAAAACTAAATACTAAGGAAAAGACGAAAATCTAAAAGCTTTCAGATTTTACATTACACACAAACGGACCTTTTTTTTAACCTTTTGTCTGTTACCTTTATTTAATAAACGTTCCTCGCACTTAAACCATAAAATTCAGTTCAAGAGCAATATCGCAATATAATTTTAAATTGAGCTTATCTTTAGAATTTCCGATACACAGTCTCACGAGCTGGAGGAAAAGAAAAGGTTTTTTTTCTGTACAACGTTGCCATTGTTCGCTTTGAAATCGCTGAGTTTGTTAATCAAAAATTTGTTAAAGTGTTCGGTAGAAGATTACGTTATTCAAAATTAAATGGCTTTAGATACCGTTGTTTTATCACAATGCGAGAGACATACATACATACATACATACAGATTCTTCATTATTTAATTTCTTTAAATGTAACAATGTAAATATTAGGTGGCAACAATTTGAAAAGTGAACCGCCATTTAAAGTTTTCACGCAAAATGGCACAATGAAATTAATAGCTCTTCTGGACTAATGCCCTTTGGGCTAATAAGAAACTAATATAATAAAAATAAAAAATAAAAAAAAATCTGAAATGTTTCAGATTTTAAATTACGTCCAAAGGGGCGTTTTTTTAACATTTTGTGTGTTACCTTACCTTTCTTTATTAAATATCATGTTCCTCGCACTTAAACCATAAGATCCAGTGCAACAGCAATATCGCAAAATAGTTTTAAAACGAGCATATCTTTAGAATTTCCGATACAGAGACTCACGCGCTGGAGATAAAAATGTTTTTTCTGCACAACGTTTGCCATTGCTCGCTTTGAAATCCTTGAGTTTATTAATCAAAAATTCGCGTCAAAGTTTTAAAAAAATAGGAAATCGATCATAAAACAAATTTCAAATTTCAAATTTGGTCTTCCACATGCTCATATTCGTTGGAGGATTACGTTATTCAAAATTCGATGACTCTATGTACCGTTATTTTATGACAATGTGAGAAATATACATACATTTACGCAGATTTTCATTATTATTTAATTTCTTCAAATATAATGCAGGACTCTAACATTTTATGGCAACAGTTTGAAAAGTGAACCGACATTTATCCGTCCGACGCAAAATGCCAAAACGAAAGTGATAGTCCTCCGGGACTCAAGTCCCTTTGGACTAAAAAGTAATAAAATAATATTACAAAAGTTAAACTATTATCATTAAAATCATTAGCCACTTTTTTGACTGCTACTTTCATCAGTAAACATGTAAGTTTTAGCCTAAGTTTATAACAGTTATTTTTAAGTTAAAGGTCCTTTCCTATCTCTCCTAATTTCAGCTAACAAATTCCTTACCAGAATGTGTTTTTAGAATCGCGTATAATGCAAATCAGCAAGAGTAGTATTCATGACGAAGTTCCACTGACTTCGAGAGAGAGAAGCAGAGTTTCTGACTAGCGCGCGTTAGCCTTTTGGCCACGTCTCTCTAAAGTCTTACAACGTTCGGCCGTACCCTTGATAGCTTCGTTAGTGGAATTAGACGAACTCTCTAAAAAGTAGGGGTAAAAATATTTCGATTTTTTTTCTCATCTATATATTATGTTTTGAAGATCTAATAAACAGTTACTTTCTGCTGCTTTTAGAATCATTTTTAGTGGGACTATTCTCCAACTTAGAAGTGTAACTAACTTTGTGACGGATAATTCCAAACTGAACTGGAAAGGTTACCACAATTACCTGCTAATCATCTCAGAATTAGGCCATTCCCTTCTTCCCCAGACACTGTTGATACCTTCGCTGGTGAGACCAAATATATAGCCTATAATGGACACAGAAAATAACAATATAAGCACATGCCTCCTGGAAATTTTTCTGAAGAAAATATTGCTAACAGTAAAATAATTATTAGCAGAACTTGAAACTATGAAGTTAGGAACTAAACTGAAAAAATTAAGTTGTTACTCAAAGATATAAAAGAAAATCCTTATGCGATATTATCAGCCTAAATAGAAACTAAAGAAGTAAGGAATTTCTATTTAGGCTTTCTTTTAATTTGATTAATTTTTTGATGATGTCAAAAATTTGATGATGTCAAAAAATTAATGAAATTTTTTAAAAAGGAAAAATTGATGATGTCAAAAAACAATCAAATTTTTTTAAAAAAGAAAAAATTGATGATGTCAAAAAATCAATCATATTAAAAAAAGAGAGAATTCATGATGTCAAAAAAAAAAACAATCAAATTTTTTTAAAAAAAAGGAAAACATTGATGATGTCAAAAAATCAATCAAATTTTTTGATGATGTCAAACTTGTTAGAAAAAAAAAAGATCTGAATGTATAAGCAAACTTTACTACTTTTAAAATTACTAATCCTGGTAACAGATTTCAATTTAAAGCAGCAGGCGAATTTCATAATTCACAAAATTTTAAGAAATATTTTAAAACTGTTACGCTGCATTTTTCAGTAGAGGTTTTTCAAATAAACAATATTTTCAAGACAGCTGAAAATTATGAAAATTAAACCTCGGGAAATAATGAAGCGATTTTGATCCGAGTTGCTGTAATCGAATGCATTTCCGGGCCAAAAGACGCTGATACAGTTTAACATCGAAATCTTTATTTTTATCCTTTGCTCCTATTCCTTACTCCATCCAATGCTCCCATAGACATAACATTGGAAACACGGTCGAACACCCAAGTCTCAAAAACTGAAATAGAACGAAATGCGTTCATAGGCTTCTTCAGCCACCTAAATGCGAGGTACTGTGAAAGCGGTTTGAAATACCATCCAGCCGTTCCCGAGTTATTCGGATGTATATATGCAAAATACGTTTCTCGGCGAGAAACGACGATTTCTCAAATTTTAACCTTAAGGGGACTCATACACCTTAAAACCCATAAGATCTTCGAACATGTGACTGTAGCAAGAATTGGGATAACTTATTTATTTTAAAAGCAATTACTTCCAAACTTTTACAACTGACTACATAATATAGCTGCTTTCTGAAATAGTCATCAGAAAGTTTGTGTTGCCACAAATATTTTTATAATTGAATCCGCTCTGTGACAAAATTTTTCGTCGTGTTTCCACCTTGCGCACATAGCTTAAAACATTCTGTCGCATAATTTAATTCCATATTTAATATATAGGTTTTATAACATCTGGAAACTACCGTGAACCAAAAATTCTAAGTATTTCTTGTTAAAGTTTTATTTAATTAAAGTTGAATTTATCAAATGTATTTTATTAAAAAATATCTGTAATATTTTCGTGCATAAAATTTTTAGTCCAAAGGGATTTGAATCCCGAAGGACTATTAGTTTCGTTTTGGCATTTTGCGTCGGACTCATAAATGTGGGTTCACTTTTCAAACTGTTGCCACAAAATGTTAGAGTCCTGCATTATATTTGAAGAAATTAAATAATGAAAAATCTGCATAAATGTATGTATATTTCTCGTATTGTGATAAAACAGCGGTACATAGAGTCATCGAATTTTGAATAACGTAATCCTCCAACGAATATGAGCATGTGGAAGACCAAATTTGAAATTTGAAATTTGTTTATGATCGATTTCCTATTTTTTAAAACTTTGACGAATTTTTGATTAACAAACTCAAGGATTTCAAAGCGAGCAATGGCAACGTTGTGCAGAAAAAACATTTTTATCTCCAGCGCGTGAGTCTCTGTATCGGAAATTCTAAAGATATGCTCGTTTTAAAACTATTTTGCGATATTGCTGTTGCACTGGATCTTATGGTTTAAGTGCGAGGAACATGATATTTAATAAAGAAAGGTAACACACAAAATGTTAAAAAACGCCCCTTTGGACGTAATTTAAAATCTGAAACATTTCAGATTTTTTTTTTTTTTTTAATATTAAAATATTCATCAGATTTTTTGGTTCAGTTAAAAATAGTGCCCATATAAAGAATTCTATGAAATTTCAAGTATGTACCATTAGCATTTTTAAAATACCATGCGCGCAAGATGGAAATATGACGAAACATTTTGTCACAAAGCGGATTAAATTACAAAAATATTTGTGGCAACATAAACTTTCTGGTTACTAGTTTCCAAAGCAGCTATATTATGCAGTCAGCTGTAAAAAGTTCGAAGTATGTGCTTTTAAAATAAATAAAATATCCCAATTCCTGCAACAGTCACATAATTCGAAGATCGTAAGGGGTTTAAGGTGTACGAGACCCCTTAAGTGAAACATCTTTGACTTTCTGCGCTATTGTCTGAAGCATTTTCCTTCCAGAATTTGTGGAAACAGTTTAATCTTGCAATTTTTTAAATTTTTAGAAAGAAAAAGATTTCGAAAAAGCTCATTCTTATAATTTTGTGTTATTTTTGTGTTTCTTTGCTAATTAATGTACTTTAATTAATCATAGATTTATCATGGTGCCAAAAATTTTAAATTTCATTTTTTCCTTCATGTTCGGGCAAATGAGAGAAAAATTATGCATGCACTTTTTGGTGTATTTTTAGACGCTTTTGAAATCTAACAGAGACTAATAAAATATTCATATTACTCCAAATTTTCAATTCATAGGTATTTAAATGTTCAGAAATATTTTGTTTGCATAACATACTGTCAATTAAAATGGAATACTTAGAATTGTTACAAAGGCATAAGAACAGTTTAAAATATACGAAATTTTAACATATAGTAATTACAAAGGCATGAGAAAAATATATTTATCTTAGAACTCAAGATAAGGTTTTTCAATTCAGAAAGCTTGTATTAAAAACAATATTTAAATTCCTTTTCGATTGTAATACCAACACTTGAAAGTTCAAAGCGTCTGAGTTTAAAATTTTTATCATGTGGGATTTTGGAATTAATTTACTATTTACAGAGGAATACTCCTATTAGTAATAATAAATTCGCACAGATTTAATCCATTAATACTTCTCACAACGAAGATTGACGTTTAAACTAGACGCATGTGTTCCATAATCCTCCTATTTACTCACATACTGCGCATTATGAAATGTTCTCCTAAAAACCAAGTACTTAATTTTATATTTAAAACAAAAAATTGCAGAAACAGCTTCCAGTCTAGCGTATTCGAGAGGTCCGTGGTTCGAGTCCCGATGAGAGCATTGTTCATTAATCTCTCCTGATTTCGAAATAATCTAATGACTCTACAGTGGCACCCGAACTGAAAAAGGTGGTGGCTGATGAATCTCTCCCACCTGTATTTAGCGATTGGGTCTCCTAATCGCCAGTCGCCCTTTAAAAGGGGGGAGTATACAGTCAAAAGTCTTTAATCCGGACGTCCATAATCCGGAATGATCTATAATCCGGACATCAAAGCTACAAACTTTCTGCGCATACGTAAACGCATAATGAGTATACGCACGCGCATTTAATGTATAAAGGACGGTATAAGCTAAGCTAAAATTATCTAATTATCTATTTCAATTAATGTTGCAAATTGCGTTGTTCCTTAATCTTCTAATAGAATCCGGCTCATTATTTTGTTGTAGACTGTTATAGCAATTTTATAAAAGTAAGCTTGAACTTTCGATTATGTCAAAAAGAATTTCCGATTCTTGAGCTGCCAAAGGATCTACAAAGCGAAAGCATGTTTCGATGTCCATCAAACGAAAAGTGGAATTGCTGCATAAAATGGATAAAGGCATATCATTTGTTTTTCTAACCATTCCGAAATCTGTTTATCAGTTTCACGCTGGTCTGCCGGGAGGGGAGGGACGTCGCGGCGCGCAATGAACTGGAAGTTGTTGATCTGTCAGCACTATCCTCATCTTCAGGGCAGATGTTTTTATTTTATCCGGCTTATAATTCCTTACTAAATGTAGTATTTCATCTCGATGTACTCCGTTATGATATGATTTAAATCAAATTCCTCGTCATTATAAATATCACGAATACACATCAAATAGTTTTCTGGTAGCAATTTTCTAATTTCGACTATGCGTAATGTATTCTTTACGCATGCGCGCGTTGAAAGAAATGTTTAATAAAGTAAACAAATAAATATTAAGCTTTTTTTTTTTTTTTTTTTTTTTTTTTTTGTAAATTTTGATACCCTTTAGATCATAATTGCTCTTTATTCCATAAATTACGGTTTCATATTTTTAATTTTTAATTTCTGCATGCCATCTTACCAGATTTAAATTGATGATCTATAATTCGGAAAAACCGATAATCCGGAATCGCCGAAGTCCCGACGAGTCCGGATTAAAGACTTTTGACTGTATAAGGTATTTCTCCCGCCTTCTTAACATGCCTTAGTGGTGCAGTGGTCAGCACTCTCGGCGCGTATTCGATAGGTCCGTGGTTCGAGTCCCGGGGAGAACATTGCTCATTTTTCATCTCTCCTGCTTTTGAAATAACCTAATGACTCTACAAGCTTATCAACGTGTATTCATAGTTTGTTAAATTTTGAAGTTTCTGTGTCTCAAGCTAATGTAATGAAAAATAACATAATATTCAAAATAAGCATTTAATCATTATGAAATTTAAAGGACTGTAGCCACCATAGCAAAGTAGTTTTAATTGCTATACAAACGTGCTTAGAATGTTCCATTTTTTAATAAATTCTTAAAGTTCTAGATTTTACTCGTATTCAAAAGAATTCAGTTTTAAATAAACTTTTTCTTTCTATTCGATTTTTAGTCACCTTGCAGTTTCAAAAATAAAGAAAACTAGGTTATTCTTTATTTAATAGAGCTTGTAAATTTGAATTTTGCTAATTAAAAGGGAAGAAAACTGTTGCCGAAAAAGATGTTTATTAAGATAATAATGTTGTTGCGACTTATCTCACTTGTCTGACAACAACCTGAGAACTTGTCCACGAAATTCACCGCGTCAAGAAGTGCAAGACTACGTCCATCGTTGGCAACAGCTTGGTTTGATTTTGGTTGTTTTTTATGTGATTATGGCAAAGCCTCGAAGGCCATCTGCCTAAGATAGGGGACGCCTTCGTAGAGGACTTTCTAAGGGAAATTGGCTCGTATATAGGTAACACATAGGGAAAACCACGAAAACGCCCATGCAGCCAGCTCGTTCGCGGGGTTCGAGCCTCGGACCGAATTACCAGAGTTCAGCGACTTTTACCGCTGGTGGGCCAGCAAGTGCCTTTAGCACCATATTGGTGACAATTAGGCTTTGTTCAGTTCATTCCCCAGTTTTGATGAACAGCACCCCGGGGGTAAGGGTCCGGAGAGTCTTCTACCCCTCTTCCCCTACCAAAACGAAAACCCCTTGAGAGGATAAACCGCTTGAGAGGACTTTCGGTTCGCCGCATACCTAGAGTGCCTCCATGCCGCACAGACACACTATACATTTACAAACAACCACAGCTTTCTCCGAGGTTCGAACTCAGGCGTTTCGGTATGGTAATTAGAGTCACTAACCATTATCCCGGTTGGGCGGTGGTAAAACCCGCGTAACGCTAGAGCAAAGATTATGTATGGTTAAGAAGGAAAGCTTCGCAGCAGCAGGAGTGGCTCCCTCCGAACGAAAAGGGACACAATTGCGCATGCGTGAAATATTTATCGCCAAAAAAGCGCCAAAGCTCGAAGCTGATGTCGAAGTTTGAACAGGTTCGACGGTCACGTTTATCAAGAGTTAAAGCTGTGGTGACTCCATTTTTTTCCCCCTACCATATTGACAGATATAAAATCAGACATCAAACTGCGATATGGATAATACAAGTTCAACTAGTAAAGCAAAAAAACGCAGGGAAATTCGAGTTTAAATTATGGCGAAAAGTCAAAAAACGATTCATCTTAACCCGTCTTCCTCAATTTCCTGTACACGTGGCGGAGGTGGAAAATCTCGGCCAGGTACATCACAAAGGGGGAAATTCTCGCCAACAGGTTTCCTCGCCAAATCTCTTGGCGAATTGTCCCTCTTCTTTGTAACGGTATAGAAGACAAACTGGTTTACATTACGTCTATGGAGCCTTTCCTTCTTTACATAGACTTTCTTTGGTCAAGGGTTAAATTCGCTAAGGACGCTGAGAGCGCCATTGAGTGTGTTCAGACAGTTGATGGAAGATGTGGCGCAGTGATGATGTGAGATTTCTGATATTTTAATATTATTCTATTTAATTGAAATTGAAATTTAGTAATACTATGAACCACCACACTATTGAAAGTTGCATTACCACTGAATCTTCAAACCACTGATGCGCAGGCGAAGATATTGAGATCGCGAGTGAAAAAAATGGCTGTTGTGTTAAACAAGCGTATTTCAAGCTCTATTAAATAAAGAATAACTTCAATGGTATTTCGCTTTTCGCATAAACAGAATTATTTTTTTAAGCAAATGTTAAATTGATGTCAGTAGTTTACCTTACCTTTTCTCCTTAAATACGTTACATTTTAGCTTCGACTCGCATCAACACAATCTTCAGTATGACGACTCATAATAAATTTCTTTTTCATCTTGATTCAATACTACAAGTATTTATTATAGCATCTCACTTCATCGGTCCTTATGGGTCGTTAAAATGCTAATCGTTGTGTAGCATGTACACTGCGCACAAAAAAAGAGGAGCAGTTCTATATCTCCCGTTCTACTGGGCCGATTGACAAAATTCAACTTGCGTTTTTCATGTCTCGAAAGCGCGATTTAGGATATGTATTAGATTTATATATAGCACTGTTATATTTTGGTATTTTGACACAAAATTGGACTTTTTCTGAAATAGCATACCAATTTTTTGCCATATTTCGATTCTACGATACAAATTACGCCAAACTACCAAGTTTTGTAAAAATCGCACGAGTAGTTTGTAAGGAATTACCTCTCAAAATTTTAGCTCCTCGATGTTAATTGAGTTTGGTATATATATTTATTAATCTCTCTTTTTTTTTATTAAATTTATTTGATTCTTCCTTTCACATTTCGAAATTTAGGTTCATTCCAAATAAAATTAACCCATTTTTTAAGATTTATTTTTTAATTTTTAAATAATTTTTATAATTTTTTCAAAAATATTTTTGAATTATAATGTATAAAATTTTTCCCATCATCTAAAAGTAGACGTATTTCTAAGCGTACTTGCAAAAAAATTACAGATTTTTATTCAAAATTTCCGAAAGATACACGTGAATTTATATATTGGCGCGTTTTGAAATTTGGCATATTTGTTGAAAGCGATAAAACATCAAATGGGGTTTAGACACTTTGCTAAATTTATTTGGAAGTAGAAACGATGTAGCTTTTTTTTCTGCTCATGAAACCATGTAAAAAGGTAGGAACGAGGTTCCTTTTTTTTTTCCGTCCAGCATAATGGAAGGGAAAGGAAAATGCGTTGCCACAAGAAGTTCGCCAACAGAATTCGCAAACTGAAAAAATTCTGCCAAGATAAATTTTCGAATTTGTCAGTAAATTTCCCACCAAATTTTACAAAATTTAATATATAGGCATAATTTGAGTCGTAGAATCGAAATACTGAAAAAAAAATTGATACATTATTTCAGAAAAAGTCTAGTTTTGTGTCAAAATACCTATATGTCAGAACAATACTAATCACAAATCTAATATACAGTTGTCTCACAAAGTGATGGAACACTGTGCTTTACAAAAGGAACTGTAGTAAAATAAATTAAAAAAACATGTAAAACTTTTTATGAGTGTGTTTCATACTTAAATTTAGTAACAATTATTACATACCACACATTTTCTCAAAATATTAAAATGTTAATTTAAAGAAAATACAATTGTTTAGAACGGAGCAAAAAATGGCTCACTTAAGTGATTGGATACTCACGTAAGTGATGGGGCATTTACTTTTCCATCAAATATTTATCAAAAAATTTTACTTTTAAAAGGTTTTAATATTTTTTGTATTTCCTTTTACTTTTAAAATGTGAATTAATCTTCTTGGGATGGATTTGACTCATTTTTTGTGATTTCTGGAGTGATTTTACCCCATTCTTCTTGAAGCACCGATTTTAATGTTGTTTTGAAGAATGGTGCGTTTGCGAATTCTTGATTCCAATTTGCCAATATTCTCTTGGGATTTAAGTCTGGAGATTTGTGGTGGATCATTTTCGTGCTGAAGATTTCAAATTTTGATTTAAATGTCAATATACTTGTACTGATCCATATACTGTCAATAAAAACAAAATTACCACTCCAGGCACGACATACCCATATCTCTTCGTCCACCATGTTTTGCTGTTGGCACCGTTGCGAAATTTTTCCCTGGTTTTTCCACACCCAAGATTCTACCGTCAGAACCAAATATATTAAATTTACTCTCATCAGCAAATATAACTTCATTCCAGTAATCAGAATTCCTATTTATGTTGGATTTTGCGAAAGCCAGTCTGAGTTGTCTATTCTTTTCACTCAAGAAGAATTTTTTCCTGGCTGCTCTACCGTGATATCCAGCATATCTAATTACTCTTATAATAGTCTCAGGATTAACAATTACTCCATATAATGCTTGTAAATCAGACAGCAACTATAGGAGCACTCATTCTTGGAGTTTTTTTTTAATATTTCCAACGATAATTCGCTTTATTCCTTTGGATAGCTTTGATGGTCGGCCATGTCTTCTTTTATCCTGAATCATATGATTACTTTTATATCGTTTAATGATATTGAAAATTGTTAAATGACTGAAGTTAACTGCTTCAGGAGTTTCTCTAATAGATTTTCCACGTTCAATATGCAAATTAATGACTAATTTTCGAATTTCAGGCAAAGTTTCTTTTCGTTTAGCATTCATGGCTGCACAGAGCTAAATAATAACTAATTTTCGAATTAATAAAATTTAATAAAATTAATAACTAATTTTCGAATTTCAGGCAAAGTTCTTTTCGTTAGCATTCATGGCTGCACAGAGCTAAAAAACACAAAATTCCAAAACAAACTGGAGAGAAATACTGCAGCCTATTTTATAAATTATTGCTAATTGCTTTTTTTGCGTAAAATAACCCCCAAAAAAATTTTTATTGTAGTATATAGTAGTATCTAATGTGTCCCATCATTATGTGAGCCATTTTTGCTCCGTTCTAAACAATTGTATTTTTATTAAATTAATACTTTAATATTTTGAGAAAATTATTTTATGTAATAATTGTTACTAATTTAAGTATGAAACACACCCACAAAAAATGTTTACATGTTTTTTTTAATTTATTTTATTACAGTTTCCTTTTGTAAAGCACAAGTGTCCCATCACTTTTGTGAAACACTGTATATCGTAAATCGCGCTTTCCAGACATGAAAAACGCAATTAGAATTTTGTCAATCGGCCCAGTAGAACGGGAGATATAGAACTTTTTCCCCCCGACCTCGCATCTTAAATTTAGTACAAATTTGGTCTTATTATATAACATTAGTTAATATCTTTTTTGACCTTTGACTTACCTATGAAGACGCAAAGAAATAAACCCAATATCTCTGTCTTAATACCGAGGTTTCGCAATTTCCTGTCCCGAATAACAGCTCCGAACGTTCCGGCCAGAATAGGACCCTGCAAATGAAAAAAAAAAAAATTACGTTGCAACCAAATGCAATAAAGTCTGATCCCCCCCCCCAATTCTCTTATAAGAGGAGCTAGAAAGTTGAAAGGATTTAAGATATTATCTTGTAAAATATGTCACTTCTTTTAAATACATCGACTTATTATTTCTGTAGAAATGTGAGAAGAATTTTCTATAGAAGAACTAATTGTAAACGTTTGGGGAAAGAAAGCAGAAAAAAAAAAGCCAAATTCAAGTAAAAATTTTAAACTACACATTATGTGTTGAAAATAAAACTTTTAAAACAAATTATTAAACAGTTTTAAATCATTATAGTTTAACCGATGCGATTACAGGGTTCGATCCTGAACTGTGTACTGATTATTACGGTTTCACGCAATTTTTTTATTCTTTTAATTTACATCGTGAAATTAAGATATATATATGAATGATTACTGCATATGCCATGCAAGAAGGATCGTTTTTCCTTAATTTTGTCACCTGAATCTCGTCTGCGAAAGAAGCGCCTGTTCAAAATTAAATCTTCAGAGAAGTTCTCTTTATTTTAAATTATCCCTTACAAGTAATGAAATTTTTCAGCCCAAACGAGCAATTTTCCCAGGACGGCTATTAATTTCGTTTTAGCATTTCGCGTTGGCTTACCATAAACGGCGTTTCACGTTTCAAATTGTTGCCACCAAATATTATCGCCCTGCATTATATTTAAAGAATTTAAATAATAAATAAGCTACATGACTACATGTATGCTTCTCGCACTGTGAAAAAACAACGCTACCTAGAGACATTCCATTTTGAGTAATGTAGTCCTCCACTCCAATATGGGTTTCTGGAAGCCCAAATTTGGAATTTGTTTTATTACCTATTTTATATTTTGCAAAACTATGAAGAGTTTCTGATTAAGAAACACAACGATTTCAAAGCGAGCAATGGCAACACTATACCCAAAAGAAAAAAAAAAATTAATTATCTCTAGCGCGCGAGACTGTGCATTTTTTAAAGATATGCTTTTTTTAAAATGCTTTTAGCTCAAAGGAACGTTACGCTAAATGCTCTCAAAATGTGTATGTATGTGTAAATGAAAAAATGCACCCTTTAGGGTGAAATTTGAAAGCTTAACAGATTTCTTTACTTTCTTTTGCTACTTTTAAACGTAATCTCTCTCTCTCTCTCTCTATATATATATATATATGTATATGTATATGTATCAGCTATATATATGTATATGTGTTGTATCGGCTTTTGTCCAGAATAAATAGGTCGTTGAAGAAATATAGATGTAGTCGTAGCTTAAATTATCAGACGATAAGTTTAAGAAACCGGATCCATTTATTATTATTCAGGAGAATTAGCAGTTACAAAATCAGATATCCGGAGTAAATAAAAAGAATTACTAATAACTTTTTGTATGAAGTTTACTGCATCGTTGCATTAAAGAAAAAGCCCCCGATATTCTTTTGCGTGTCCTTTTATAGCCTCTGGAAAGGCGGAGCTTCCAAGAAATGACGTCAGCCTCGTCAGCCAATCCAGTTCGCTTTAAATATCTCGAGAACATTCTATAACTGTACATGTAGAAAAGGCGGGAAAAACACTACGGGGCTGTGGATTTAATTCCACGTACTTTCAAATAAGAGAACGTCGCCATTAAAAATGAAAAGAACATACAGTTAGAATTTTAAGTGTATTATTGATTATGGAATTTTATTATTACATATATATATATATATATATACATAGCCTAACTCCTCATCCGGTTTAAAAGTTCTTACACGGCCTTTATTTTATTTTAATTTTTAAAGCCCAAAAGAGGGTATTAGTCTTGAAATGGTATTTTGCATGGGTTTCCTATAAACACTTTTCAAATTTTTGTCCCCAAATAGTATTGCCTTGTATTATTTTTAAAAAAATTAAATAATGAAGAATATGCATGTCTGCTCATTACATTGTGGGAAAACGACGGTAACTAGGGCAGTAAAATTTTGAATAACGTAGTCTTCTACCCTAACATGTTTACCTGGAAGGTCAAATTTTGAATCAGGAATTTTATATTTCATATATTATAAAATTTTAATTAATTTTTGCTTAATAAACTCAACAATTTCAAAGCAAGCAATGGCAACACTGCATGGAATAAAATATGTTTATGTCCAACGCACAAGACTATCTATGGAAAATTCAAGAGATAATGCAGCTTTTAAATGTTTTGTGATTCTGCTCTCGAATTGAATTTTACATGGCTTAAGTGTGGGTTCAGCAAGAGTATAAAAAGCCTTAACAGACCCTTTTGGCCGACCGTTAATATCTGAAACCTTTCAGAATTTTTTTTTCTGGGAGAAAAATCTGTTAAAAAAACAAATGTTATAAAAGAACGCTAAATAATCCATCATTCGAAGTCAAGATGGAAAAAAAAAAGAATTTTATATTTTCCGTTTTAAATCAATAAAAAAATACCTCGAAGAATTTGATCACCCTCCCGCACTGATGAACTGGAATATCATTAAAGACAGTTAAATTAAAAGCTTCAATTGTGTTCTTTGAAATTGTAAACTTAACATTTCATCTCAATTCATAAATTCTCTCAATTAAGTACCGCCAACGCTTTGGGTACTCACCATAGTTTACTCACCATGATGGGTGAGATGAGCATGGAGGCTACAATAATGACAGAACTGTTCTCCAGCAGACCCAGAGCAGCAATCATACTAAAAACATAAGAAGAAGATAATTCTTAAGCTTTTTCTTATATGAAATAAAAATTAGATGAAAAACTATGACACACAAAATGTGTAATAAGATAAAATATTTCATAGCAGAGAATTTAGAATTGCATACATATCAGTTATGATGATTTATTTCTGTTCTTTTAAATACTACTTCTGTTTACGAAATTGGAGTGATTTTCAGTAATTTTTATCTCCCATGAATATCTTAAATGAATTTTTATTTTAAGATTATCTTAAAAAATTTTACTTTAAACGAATATTTATCTTAAGATCGATACTAATAATTTTTATCTTAAACGAATATTTATCTTAAGATCGATACTAATAATTTTTATCTTCAACGAATATTTATCTTAAGATCGATGCTAATAATTTTTATCTTGAGATCGATACTAATAATTTTTATCTCAAGATTTTCGATAATTTTATCTTAAGATTTTCAATGATTTTATCTTAATATGAATATATATTTTATCTTAAGATTAATATATATTTTTATCTTAAGATTAATATCAATATTATTATTCATTATATACTATTATGAATTCTGAAGTTTATATAAGTAGACCAGTATATAATTAGAGATAGAAATTTTTATCTTCGTAATCGTTATTAAAAATGAAATATTCAGTGTCAACATTTAATTGCCACAAAACAAATAATAAAGTAATTTATACAGTGTTTCATTCGTACAGTATCACAAATGTAAATGCATTGCTTTTCCTCAAATATTCTTATTTGATTCGAATGCAAGATTGCGCATCAAATATATCTCAAAATTTCAGATTTTTAACGTTTTAATAAATTAAACTTTCTGAATAATTTATTTGTATTTGTAAAAAAGATCGATACTAATAATTTTTTATCTTAAGATCGATACTAATAATTTTTATCTCAAGATTTTCAATATTTTATCTTAAGATTAATATATATTTTTATCAAAGATTTAAGATTAATATCAATATTATTATTCATTATATACTATTATGAATTCTGAAGTTTATATAAGTAGACCAGTATATAATTAGAGATATCAATTTTTATCTTCGTAAATACTCTCGTTATTAAAAATGAAATATTCAGTGTCAACATTTAATTGCAACGAAACAAATAATAAAGTAATTTATACAGTGTTTCATTCGTACAGTATCACAAATGTAAATGCATTGCTTTTCCTCAAATATTCTTATTTGATTCGAATGCAAGATTGCGCATCAAAATATATCTCAAAATTTCAGATTTTTAACGTTTTATAAATTAAACTTTCTGAATAATTTATTTGTATTTGTAAAAAGATCGATACTAATAATTTTTATCTTAAGATCGATACTAATAATTTTTATCTCAAGATTTTCAATAATTTTATCTTAAGATTTTCAATGATTTTATCTTAATATGAATATATATTTTTATCTTAAGATTAATATCAATAGACAGATTAATATCAATATTATTATTCATTATATACTATTATGAATTCTGAAGTTTATATAAGTAGACCAGTATATAATTAGAGATATCAATTTTTATCTTCGTAAATACTCTCGTTATTAAAAATGAAATATTCAGTGTCAACATTTAATTGCAACAAAACAAATAATAAAGTAATTTATACAGTGTTTCATTCGTACAGTATCACAAATGTAAATGCATTGCTTTTCTTCAAATATTCTTCTTATTTGATTTGAATGTAAGACTCGCATTAAAATATATCTCAGAATTTCAGATTTTTAAATGTTTTATAAATTAATCTTTATGAATAATTTATTTGTATTTGTAAAAAATAAATCATGAACTTTTTCTTTTCTTCTTCTTCTTTTTAGCACAAAAAGACAATTTGCTTCTCTAAGCAATTATTTCTAAGCTTCTAATTTCGTTTTATCATTTTGCATTGGTTCACTACAAACGACGTTTCGCTTTCATTGTTTCCACCAATTATTAGAGACCTGCGTTATATTTAAGGAAATTAAATGATGAAGTATCTCCATCAATGTATGTATGTTTCTCGCGTTGTGAAAAAACAACGGTACCTAGAGACATCAAGTTTTGAATAACGTAGGCTTCCACTCGATTATGGGCATTTGTAAGCCCATATTTGGAATTTGTTTTATTACCTATTTCATATTTTGTGAAACATTAACGAATTTTTGCTCAACGATTTTAAAGCGAGCAATGGCAACACCGTACGGAGGGGGGAGACAAAAAAGAGAAAAACATTTTTATCTCTAGCTCGCAATACGTATCGGAAATCTAAACATATGGCTGTTTCTAAATTATTTTGGGATATTGCTGTTGAACTGAATTTTATGGTTTAAGTGCGAAGAACATGTTATTTAATAAATAAAAGTAACACAGACAACGTGAATAAAACGCTCCTTTGGGCGTAATACAAAATGTGAATTTATATATATTTTTTTTTATTCCTCCTTGTTTAATACAGCGCATATAACTATAGTAGTATTGTTACGGATTTTGTATTTAACTAGCTATTTTTAGTAAAATTGTAATTAAAATTACTTTATTTGCCTGTGCGATGCAGCGCGTGACGAGTTTTAAGAGAAAGCTACGCCGAAAAAGTAAAAATACAGGAGCACGGGCACTTAACATTTAATAAATAGATATCTCGTAATTGTACATTTTTGCTTTCCAGAAACCTCGAGAATATACCAGAATGTTCTCGTGCATGATTAAACAGCATATAAAAGCCGGAGCAGAACATCTCAGTTCAGTTGTTTATTAGTTGTTTTTGTTGTTGATTGTAGCGAATTCGAGTTAGATCGGGTTAGCGTTCTCTGTGCTTTGGATTGCGTTCTATTTAACGTTTTAGTAGTTTTAGTAGTAAAATCACTACACACATCTTCAAGAATCATATGCAAATTTCAGGAAGTAACCAGATGACACCGATGGTACGTCACAATGATGAGAGTGTAAGAGAGTGATATTATAAGGAATACAGGCAAAGAAGTAAAATTGTTCGCAGGCGCTTTATAAGCATTTCAGTGCAATAACCGAAAAGTTATGACACAAAGGAGGCATTTGGATGATTTTTTACGTGGTAGAATTATCGGCCGTCTGGAATGTGGGCGTACTCAACTGGAAGTATCACACGAACTTGGAATAGCCCAGAGTGTCATCTCTAGGCTTTGGCAACAATTCCAAGATGATGGTAATGTGAGTAGACGGTACAGCACATGTCGCCCCAGAGTTACAACGCCGAATGAGGACAGGTATTTGGCAGTTAATGCCAAAAAAAACAGGCGGCGCACAGACTCAGACCTGTCTCGTCAGCTCTCTTCAGCTACTGGTACGACAATTTCAAGGCAGACCGTGTACAGACGCTTAGAGCAGATTGGGCTATATGCTCGTAGACCTGTAAGATGCGTTCCACTTACTGCAACTCACTGTCGCCTGCGGTTACCCTGGAGTAGAGAGCATGCAATGTGGACACCGCAACAGTGGGCTTATGTGATGTTTTCCGACAAGTCCAGGTTTAGCTTGCAGTCTGATTCTGGGCGGACTTTCATATGGAGAGCTCCAGGTACCCGTTACCACCAAGAAAACATCACTGAACGACACCGTTACGGTGGTGCAGGAGTGCTCGTTTGGAGTGGAATTATTCTGGGTTCCAGAACTGACCTGCATGTTCAAATTGGAACCATGACAAGCCATATCTATCGGGACGTCATTCTGGAACAACATAAACGTTTGTTTCGGGCCTTCATGGGCGCACAATTTGTGTTTATGGATGACAACGCCCTTCCTCACCGTGCAAACATCGTAAGCGAATGCCTTCAATCGGAGGATATCACCCGTATGGACTGGACAGCATTCTCACTGGACTTGAATCCAGTAGAGCACGTGTGGGAAATGCTTGGCCGACGAGTTGCAGCCCGTCAATCTCCTACATGTCTACCGGAACTTCGGAGAGCAGTGCTTTTTGAATGGTGTAATATCCCCCAAGATCAGATCGATAATTTGATATTCAGCATGCCTAGACGTTGTACGGACTCTATTGCATCATCTGGGAGACATGCAATGTACTAACAATCATACCAACCATGTAATATTGGTTTTTTGTAAATAGGATTTTTTGTAACTTGCTCCAGGGAGAAAAATTCGCTTATATTTTTAATAATATCAAACATATAGCATCTTTTTTTGTTCTTTACCTTTTGTTTAATAAATAAGCTTTACAAATAAGTCAAATTTGTTTTGCTTCTTACTCTTCCTTTGCCTGATTTTGCATTATCCTTAATTTATGGACATGAGTGTATTTCTTGAGATAAGAATAAATTTTTCATCAGGCTTGGGCATTCAGTCTATTATGACAACGCAATATATCTATTATCACGCAACAGTATGTTAAAAACAGTTTTACAAAAATACGTAGACGTATTAAAATTTATCGTAACTGATTTTCGTTTTCAAAATTCGATAACTATACTAGCCATGTACACTTTTCTTTTTTTAAATTTGAGTACATTACACTAAATTATACTTTTCGCAATATTTAATGAACAACTGAAAAACTTGAAATAAAGACCTTGTGACATCATTTCTAGCACGGCGGGTCTGGCGCTTTTTGCTGCTTCATCTGTATATACAGACCATCTTCCTAATTTGTCTTTTCAATACTAACATCTTCCAGATGCGGTGAATCGTTGTCAAGTCTAGTCTGGTTTGGTTTGTTTAACTTTGTCACTCGAGGTCTTTCTACCTAAGAGGAGGGATGCCTTAGTAGAGGATTTTGTAAGGGAAACTTGCTCGTATATGCGTGAACACGTACTACTAAAACGCCCATGCAGCCTGCTCGTTTGCCGGGATTCGAACCCCGGACCGATCGCCTAGTGTTCAGCGACTTTAGCGATCGACCGCTGATGGGCCAATGTCAAGTCTGTCTCGGGCTGTGTGATTGCTGATATTAAATAATATGGTGGTCCTTGGAGCTTTTAGCCTTCCGTGCTTCCCACTGAAACGAG